GTAGAACATCAAACACTGCTCCCCTCTAAATTACTTTTTTTTTGTAATGGTTAACCACCTTCTTTGTAGCTCACAGCAGGGGGGGATTTTTTTCCCCTTCCTGAAAGCTGAGATAAAAAGAAAGGAGAAAATTCCTGTCTGCTTTTATCATCCTGTATGTTGAAATACGGGTTGTTGTTTTTAAAGGTAGGTAAGCAACATAGTTGCTTGGCTTGGCAAAACGGCACTGAGCAGTGCAAGTTAATAAATGAAATGATTTTAATTTTGATACATGCTAATAATGTTCTGTCAGGTCAGTGTTACCCCTTCTACAAACAAGTGTGAGAAACGAGGCAAAAGTCTTAAGTTGGTTATGAGCAGTGTTTTATAGTGCAGATCTTTAAACAAAGATATTTCTGGTTAAAGTTTATTTACTATGTTCAGACTTTGAATTAAAGCTATTGGGTGCATTCTAGAGCTTTCATGGGAATTTCACCCTTATTCCTTACACGGTGTGTCAGTGCCATGCATCAAAATGACTAAATATATGTGTATGGACTTGTGAAGTACAAATTATACTCGTACAAAAAGACTGCCGAAAGATGAAGAAACACACTTTTGCTATTTCTGAATGGAATTCCTTTTTATGAAGCCCCCTTCACTGACAAACCACCTAAAGTAACCATGCCTGACCTTCTCTGAGTAAAAATTTAACCATCAGATCTCATTGGGGCTACTACTGACCCTCCGCAGATAACATTCCACAAACTCTCTCACACTCAGCTGGGAGAAGCTCTTGTTTGTACACAGGTTATAGCACTGCCAGTGAGAGATTCTGGAAGCTATAATGTCTTATTGCTATCATACTAGCCTCTTATTGTTTGTGAGCCAGTTTCACACAGCCAAGCCTCTCTGCTTTGATGGAAAAACATTTTCGTCTTCCTTTAGTCAATGTTGTATACCTGCTACCTCTCCTGTCCGGGGTTACGTGAATTTGTGGCCTTCTGAATATTGGGTTCTTTTTTGGGGGTGGCGGGAGACCTTTATTGGTGATGGAGGCTTGCAAGATTACCTGCCTGGGTAAATCAAGGAACTAAATGTACTCTGATAACACACATGCATCTTTTTGCATGAGATGTAGTTCCATATATTGCAGTGGAAACGGCGAACCTGTACTTTTTTTGGCACATGCTTAAAATATTTTTCTTTAGGCAAGCCAATCGAGACAAGCAGGTGGTGCTGTGTTTTAATCTTTTTAAAGCCTCTGTTGATTTTAATAATCCTGAATATTTTTACTTCTATGAAGTAAAACTCCCAGTTAGATGCATGGTACAGTTCATGTAAAGAGAACTCAACAGTTCTCAACAAAAAGCAAGAATTAATCTGCGAGTTTCATAGTGGAAGCAGACAGATAGACAGATCTCTCTCTGAAGCAAGACCAACTGAGTTCAGTGGGGCTTAGCAAGGACTTTTGCTGCCTGAAGTAAAGGACAAGATGGCTTCCACTCCCCATTCCACACACACAAGCTGACTTCTGGCACTGGCGACAGGATAGCATCTCCCACTGCACCAAACATAACAACCCAGTTTCAAGGATATGAAGTGGCTCTGTGGCAATAGAGGAAAATAGCTGGTGGGCTCAGGAGGAACAGCTGGGAGCTACTATTGCCTGCCCTGTAGCATATGCAGCCTGAAGTGATTGCTTCAGCCTGCCTAATGGCTGGCCCGGCCCAGTGCTGGGGCAAGTTTGGAATAGACAAGTATACCGTAGTTTATACTATGAATAACACAGGGCTCAGTTAAGACACCCCTGCAAAAAAAAGAGGGGGGGAAAGCCTGATCTAATCCAATTTGTGGTCTCCTTTCATTGGTTTCTTGTGGTTTGCCCTTTTGGCTGTTGTCTTGTAAAAGTCTGGTTAAAAAAATATGTCAGAGCTAATCTTCTGGAAAAGAAGGACTAGTAAAGTTGCCAAGTGCAAATAAAGAGAGTGGTGTTGAGCTTTCTCTTGTAAAATTTTCCCCAATAATAAAGTTTTTCTAAGGCTCCTGTCCAGTGCTTCACTTGTACAAAATAAATAAATGAGATTTAATTTTCAAGTAAATTTAATTAAGGTAAGGGTAGTAGGGATATTTGGGACTCTAAACTGAAGCAAATGTAATCTGGCCATATTAAGAGCCTAATATTTAAGATTTGATGTACACAGCATTTTGAGATACAACAAAAATCATTTGGGCAGCTAAAGAAAGCACTGCCCGAAGCTTCAAATATGCCTTTGGAGAAAGTTTGCAAGACTGATAACTGAATACAAGACAATACAGAATATATGCCTAAAGAGCAATTGTTGTTGTTCATTATATAATATTCTTTTAAACAAATCCATCTCCAAAGCATCTATCAGATAAATTATAGTTTCCAGACTGAACCATCAGAAAATGTTTGGGTTTGATGGATCTTAGAAAAAAATTAAGATATTTGAAGACGACTATCATGTCCGCTCTCAGTCTCATTTTCTCCGGGCTTAGCATACTCAGTTCCCTCAACTGTTCCCCCCAAGCCTTGGTTTCCAGAGCCTTGATCATCTTGGTTGCCCTCTTCTGCACATGTTCTAGCCTGTCAACATCCTTCTTAAGCCATGGCGCCCAGAAGTGGATGCAGTACAGTGGTACCTCGGGTTACAAACACCTCAGGATACAAACACTTGGGGTTATAGACTCCGCCAACCTGGAAGTACTACCTTGAGTTAAGAACTTTACCTCAGGATGAGAACAGAAATTGTGTGGCGGTGGTGCGGCAGCAGCGGGAGGCCCTATTAGCTAAAGTGGTACCTCACGTTAAGAACGGTTTCAGGTTAAGAACGGACCTCCGGAATGAGTTAAGTTTGTAACCAGAGGTACCACTGTACTTCAAGTGTGGTTTGATCAAGGCAGAATAGAGTGGTATTGTGACTTTCATTGATGAATGAATGATGGTTTAATATTATTCTTATTCTTATTTGCCCTCCTTGGGCAAATAAGCGTGGGTTACAACAATTTAAAATCCTTTACTACTACTACTACTAAATGCAACTACAAAAAGTAAGATGGCTCTGAAAATATACATCTCAGGTGTCAAAAGGCCAGGGTAAAGAGGTGCATCTTCAGCATTTGTTGAAAACTGTATAATGAAGTCTCTGAATGCACCTCTGTGGCAAGAGAGTTCCACAACTTAAGAGCTGCCACAGAAAATGCCCTCTCTTGTGCCACCATCCCCTGAGCTTTTTAAGGCGGCAGAACTACCAGGAGATTACGATCTGAATATGATAAAAAAGCTTGCACTTTTTCACAATAATCAAATTTTATAAATGATGTGAAACTCACATCTGGATTATTGATTGCTCCAGAATCCAGAAGATTCCAGACCTGGGGTATTGATGGCACAAATTGTACAGGGACAAGCAAACTGTGGCGCAGGAGCAAAGCGTTATGCCTTGCACTCATTCCTCCCTTGCTCCTGCTTGCTACCTGTTGAAGTACATAATATTCTTTTCTCAAATATCACGGCCTTTCTTCTGTCATGGTACCAGAAGCGGCTTACACAGGATTCCTAGGAGGTTACTCATCCAGGCACTGATCAGAACTAGAGCTGCTTAGTTTCAGTGAGATGGGGGCCTCATGTGCCTTCAGATGATATTCTGGGCATACATATGTATATAGTGTTCACTGAAGTACTTTTGGCTGTGTACATTTAGAGCACGCTGCTTCACTCAAAGAATCCTGGGAGCTGTCCTCACAGAACTATAATTCCCAGCACCCTTATCAAATTGCAGTTCCCATGATTCTTTGGGGGAAGTCACATGCTGTAAATGTATGACATGTGCACAGCCATGGTCTTTTGGATTTGATATGTGGCATACATGACAATAAGGCCGGCGATCATTGCTGGAGATCCCTGAAGGACAAATTGATGATTAGAAGAAGGAGTGCTTTTTTTCTGGGGAGAAGCAGGGGCACGCATACCCCTAAACATTTTGTGAATCTAACAGGAGAAGAAACTAATATATATATATATATTATTTTCTAGCACAGTGAATCGTCAGTTCTGTTGAACAGCACAGTGAACTGTCAGTTCTGTTGCTACCCCCGATGGCGGCCTCATTTCCCGTCATGGTGTTTCCTGAGTCTCAGATGGAAGCGAACATTTAATGTGTGAAGTAGGAGTTGGAATCTAGCACAGTGATAGTTGTTACCACCTCCAATGGCGGCTTCATTTCCTTTCCTGGTGATTTTCGTGAGTCAAAATGAGAGTACCCCTAGAAAAAAAAGCACTGATTAGAAGTATCATATAACTAAAGAAGTGATAAACTGAAAAAAGGAGGAGAGGGAAGGAGAGGCGAGAAGTGAGGGAGACCCCTTAATATGTTTGCTTCTTTTAGTAGCATTAGCAGGTCATTCATCTTGTTCCAAGGTTTGTATGAGAATTACACTTCAATCCTACGCATGTCTTCTTGGGAATAAGTCCTGAATGGAATTCCTGGGTAAGTGTGAATATGATAGCCTATTATCCTTGTGGCCTGTTTATTTTTTTACTAAACCAAAGATACTCAGGAGACACATGTAACCATCTCTGTTCTGTTCTCTCTCTCTCTCTCTCTCTCTCTCTCTCTTTCTTTCAAGAGGAATTGTGGAAAGCTGTAATCAGAAGTGGGCCGCTGAATAAAATAGAAATTAACAATACACCCATCAAAAAACTATTGCATGTATCTCCCATGCAATGCCTAGCTTGGCCCCATGCATTGGCTATCATCCATCAAAGCAATCAGTGAAAAGCAATGATCTCGCCATCTTCTTTGGCGTTCAGTCTGCAGCAAATGGTACATGGCACCTTTCTGTGGGGTGGTGTTGAAGACTCATCAAGACATGAACGCTTAATGGAACACCTGCTCTCAGGTGGCACTATGAACATTTTTCAATACCTGAGCCATGCCAGTGCTTAGAAATCTTCAGAGGTTTCTATCTGTTTAGTAACAAGAGTAAGAGTAGTCATAATCCACAGACCCGTTCTTCCACGGATGGCAGTTGTGAACAGTTAGGAACCCAAGCTGCCTCTGGAACCCCAAGAGCAGCGAGGGATCCTCCAACTGCCATCTTACGCCCTCGGGAATCTCCCCTGCAGGCCCACCAGGTACCCAAGAGGAACTTTGTCTGCCAATCCATCATGTGCCCTCTCTTGCCATTTCTGCACCGATGGCAGGCAGGCTGCCCTCTTGCCCCTCTCTGTCCTGCCCAAGCCATTTCCCACCTGCCACGGTTTGCCTAGTAAAAGGAAAAGGGGCAGGGCTGGATTTAGGTTTGATGAGGCCCTAAGCTACTGAAGGTAACGGGGTCCTTTATATGTCCAGCTGTCCTTTGTCAACAACAAATTGTCACTGTTTTTTGTGTGTTGAATATATCCTGTATGGTATATAGCGAAAAGCAAAGCTACAGGGAACCAGGCAGAGGGTCTTCTCGGTAGTGACGCCCGCCCTGTAGAACGCCCTCCCATCAGATGTCAAAGAGATAAACAACTACCTGACATTCAGAAGACATCTGAAGGCAGTCCTGTTCAGGGAAGTTTTTAATGTGTGACATTTTAATGTATTTTTAATCTTTGTTGGAAGCAGCCTAGAGTGGCTGGAGAAACCCAGCCAGATGGGAGGGGTACAAATAATAAATTATTATTATTATTACGATGGATCTAATAGGTATCTAAAGCCATTTGCCTATAACAAAATATGTATTTTATCAAAGTAATTGTTAAACTGAAATACAATTAAGAAGAAATATATTAATAGTGAAATTTTGGGGGGCCCTCAAGAGAGTGGGGCCCTAAGCTATAGCCTGTTTAGCTTATACGTAAATCCGGCACTGAAAAGGGGAAGAATAATAGTTTTTCTCCCTACCACCCACGGGGGGGGGGGGTCCCCTGAGGCGCCCTTCTCCCTTGCCGGCGCCCCTGAAAGCTGCAAGGCTGCGGAGTCTCTGCAGTTTCCTTTCCTTGCATTGAGTGCAGCTATGTGCGTTGCTACGGAAACTGCAGGGTTGGGGAAATAATAATAATAATAGCATTCTCCTCCAACTCCTCCTCCTCCTCCTCCTCCTCCCCCGGGAGCCGAAGTTCCCGCAGCAGCAGCAGCAAACCGCCAGAATAGCCTCCCTGCTCCTCTCTCTTACCTTTGGGAGACCCAGCCCGGAGAGAGAATGAGGCAGGTAATTCTGCGGTAGCGACAGCCGCCGCCGCCGCCAGCCTGCAGTTCTTTGGTAAAGCTCATGGTGCTGGCAGCTGAGCCGCTGCTGGGTGGAGAGGGAGAGAGAGAGACGGGCTGCCCTATATCCAGAGTGAAAAGAAGAATTTGGACTTTGCTGTGTGCACAGGTGCTCTTCCCCTTTCTCCTGCTCTGTTATTCTCTACGGGGGACCAAAACAAAAAATGCTCCCTAGTTTGTGCTGCGTCGTTGTCCCCTTTCCCCCGCTTCCCCCTGATTTGCGTGTTCACACGTGATACTAACAGCGGCTCCCCCCCCCCGACACGGTCGTGTGAATTACTTTGTTTCGTTTGTTTTTAAAGTGTTTTTGTTTAAATCGGCCTCTTTTCCCTTCGTGGGTTAAGCCTGACGCTCGTGCACGCCAAAGAGCAGCCACAGGTTTGTTTTGTTTTTTAGAGCTTTTAGTGTTGCGTGGACGGGGACACTGTGGAGAAAAGCTGCAACTGGGCACCCGGGTTTCCTGAAGGGAAATGCCAAGAAGAAAGAAGAAGTCGGGGAGGGGAGGGGGATTGGATCTGCCCGAAGCCATTTGCAAAAGCAGGACAGGCATTTCTTGTCCACTTCCACCCTGGCAAGAGGGCTGTGCTGGTCCAGGCATCTTGAAGGCTTGATATTTCCTCAGCAGAAGCTGAAAATGGGGGTGTTTGATACGAAGGGCCCTCAGAGGGGTTTAATGCACTGATCTCTCTCCCTGCCTTGAGCCAAATCATGCCTTCTAAAAGCAGCTGAGACAGACATCAGGAAATATCAGAGGATGGGCTCTCTTGCCCTTTGATCCCATGGTTTAAAGTCAATTTAAACCAGAACTCACCTGCAAGCATCCAAGCTCCAGGATCATATGAAGTGGTCATATGATCAACATGCTCCTGAGGATATGCAGAGTGCTTTCACTTCATCACAGAGCAACCACAGTCAGACGGCCCCCCCCCAAGCCTCTGATGTGGCTTCTTCTTGACAAGGTTGAGCCCTGAGACCTCTTGTTGTAGAAATTAATCTCTGGGGTATATCTTATCAAGGTTGCAGTAAGAGTGTGTCTGGTAAATTACGGGGTAAGCATGTGGATCAATTAAATGTGACACTGGTGGGGCTGCAGCTATGTCTTCATTTGCAGTAGGATGTGGCAGTGAGAGACAGCATCCTGAGGGGAGTGAAGAATGAACTGTTTTCTCTTCAGGCTGCATGTGGAGGAATGACAATTTTTAATGCTTCACTATGTAAAAATAGGGGGGGAAATGCCTCCCTGCAAGTAGCAAACTAGTTAAGCAAAAACCTTTCTTCCCTGATGTGCTTATTTTCTGCTTGCAAGGATTTTCAACATGGGTTGCTTTACCTGCTGTCTGAAATGGTACAGTCCACTCTAACATCTTGCTGCTCTGTCATTCTGTTCTGCTGCGTCTGTGGTAGAAGGGAGATCTAAAATCATGCAACTGCAAAAAGACCAATTCAGCAATAAAGTTCTTTTGTGTCTCACAGCTCTGTTTTCTCTCTCCCCCCGCCACCCCATTTCTTGTTCTACTGAACATATTTCTGTTAGGATGTTATCGGAATTCAGCCAGGAAAAGTCCCACTATTCCCAGTTCCTGCCCACTATCTCTGGGCCCAATAAAATACTGCCAGCTGAAAGCTTTTATTTCCCCCCTAATACCTGATGATAATGTCCTCCTCCTCTCCATTTTTGCATGCCACCTGTTGCTGAGCTGCTGAGCTTTGGCCACTTTGGAGACTTGCGGTCCACCTTATGGTTGATTTTGAGGATGAAGAAGCTGGCATAGAAGAATGGAGAAAAGCAAGGGGAGTGAAAACTCCTGGAGAAAAACAACAACATGTTGCCTAGTTCCAGTGACTACAAAGCTGGATGCTGGGACTACAAAGTTGGGAAAAGGGGGGAGGGGGTTCTTTATTCTGCTCAGTCACTGTTTCTGCTTTACGCTTGTAGACTGAGTATATAGGATAAGAAACTCCTGATGGCATTACCATTCTCCGGAGAGTGGCGAGAACTGGTTGCCTAGCGCAAGTTGCTCTTTAAACTGCATTGAAATTGACACCTTAGGGAGGCACTAAGAGCATCTCTGGTACTTTTAGGCAGAGAGATACCATTGGTGGTGCTCCCAGTGTGCTCGTCTTGGTTGACTGTGTGTGTACACATGCAGTACGCGTACTGCAAAAAGGGATTTTAACAGGTCTGCAGGAGAGAGAGGCGGTAGGGAGAATAAAGCCTGTTCCTTGCTGAACCAACAGGTGTGCAGGCCAAAGGCTCCGTTCAAAGGAGGAATTGGAAGACGTGGGTCGAAGCAGGGCCATGAGCAGTCCCAGTGCCAAGCCAACATGCCTGTCGCAGCCGGTGGTGAAGAGCGTGATGGTGTATCGCAACGGAGATCCGTTCTTCCCAGGGCGCCGAGTGATCATCCACGAGAAGAAGGTGTCCAGCTTTGATGTCTTCCTAAAAGAAGTGACCGGTGGGGTGAATGCTCCCTTTGGGGCTGTGCGGAATATCTACACCCCCCGCGGTGGCCACCGTGTCAGACAGCTAGATGAGATTCAGAGCGGAGAGCACTATGTTGCCGGTGGCAGGGAGGCCTTCAAGAAACTCAAGTGAGTACAGTGGTACCTCGGGTTACAGACACTTCAGGTTACAGGCGCTTCAGGTTACACACTCCACTAACCTAGAAATAGTACCTCCGGTTAAGAACTTTCCTTCAGGATGAGAACAGAAATCGTGCTCCGGCGGCGCGGTGGCAGCAGGAGGCCCCATTAGCTAAAGTGGTACCTCAGGTTAAGAACAGTTTCAGGTTAAGAACGGACCTCCAGAATGAATTAAGTTCTTAACCTGAGGTACCATTGTAAAAACAAACCAAAATGGCATGGAAACTTTAACTTTATGTGATCTTTTTAAAGGCACCATCAAGGTGTCTCAAAAATTATTGACACGTCACCCCATTTTGTCCAAGACGATTCATTGTCAATGTAAGCACGTTTTGCAGCTTGAAAGGTCTTTCTGTTTCATCTGCCTAGTCCCCTTATCCCCTGTGCACATTTCCTGCAAGGTGCTTCTATCATTTCAACATGAAATCTTTGTCCCTGAGGAGAAAAAAACAACAATTGACAGAAAAAGCTTCAGTTGTTCAAACATTATTAACTTCATCAATGGACACATGAGGCTATTTTGTGGTATTTGGTAATCGTATCTGACATTTCTGTGTCTCGGGTTCTGTGTGTGCTTTGGTTCTGTTCCAGTAAATGTGGAATGCAGAGAAATACAACCTAGTCCTGGGCATGCTCAGACGTAAGTCCTGCTTTGTTTTATAGGGCCTTCTCCCAGGTAAGCGTGTATAGGATTGCAGCCTTAATGGTTATGTTAATGAAGCACAGGTAGTCTCTACTGAAATAATAAAACTTTGGAATATTCTTGGGTAAATGCTGGTAAAGGAATCATTGGAGATATTTTTGTCACTCGGTGCTCTGCCTTTTAGCATCGAGCCCCACACTTGCAGCTGCATAAGCTTAGAACAAATGGCTAAATATACAACTAATTTGTGTGGCAGAATGAAGCATTTTAGCCATAGAATCGTGGAATTGTAGAGTTGGAAGGGATACAGCTTGTGTTATTTTTCAGCAATAAAGAAGAATGAGTTTGCTGGCCAGTGTAAACTGAAGTGGGATCTGTCGACTAGATTTTCTTAAAAGTTGTAATTAAGGACATTGTATATAATTGTTTTAAAAGTCATTTTTATGTGAAGATAAATATATGCAGGACGCAGAGTGTGTGTCAGTGCTTTGTAGATGTACAAAGAGCTGCACCCCCAGATGTACAGAGCTGTTCCTTTTCTTAGGCACAGTAGAAGTCAGGAACACTGGGTGGATATACCCACAGAGAAAAAACGTTATAAATAAGTCAGAAATTAGATCGTTATAGCAAAATAAAAAACCCCTATGGAAAAATGCGCCTATAAATTTCCTGCTCTCTGGCACCATCTGGTGTTGCATGATTATAGCACATTCAAATGGTTGTTTCTTTACTAATGTAGCTGAGCCCTTAGCAACTTTTGAAATTCCAGGAATTCAGTGAGACAGTTTAAAAAAAGCTTTGCATAAAATTGTATCCATTTCCCATTTGTCTTTAGCTGCTGGCAGGGCATATCAATTAGTTACTAGGCAATGCCATTTTTAAATACAGAGTCCTTTCATGAAACCAAAAAGGGACGCGGGGGGCGCTGTGGTCTAAGCCACAGAGCCTAGGGCTTGCCGATCAGAAGGTTGGCGGTTCGAATCCCCACGACCGGGTGAGCTCCCGTTATTCGGTCCCAGCTCCTGCCAACCTAGCAGTTCGAAAGCACGTCAAAGTGCAAGTAGATAAATAGTTACCGCCCTGGCGGGAAGGTAAACAGCATTCCCGTGCACTGCTCTGGTTTCGCCAGAAGTGGCTTAGTCATGCTGGCAACATGACCTGAAAAAAACTGTCTGTGGACAAACATCAGCTCCCTCGGCCAGTAAAGTGAGATGAGTGCCACAACCCCAGAGTCGTTCGCAACTGGACTTAACTTTCAGGGGTCCTTTACCTTTACCATTTTATCATGAAACCATGCCTATCAAAACGTAAGAATTCCAACCAATCTTTTCTGTGCCATCATTGCAGCCCTTAGACTATAGAATTCCTTAATTTTGGGCAGGCTTCCTCAACCTCAGCCCTCCAGATGTTTTTGGCCTACAACTCCCATGACCCCTAGCTAGCAGGACCAGTGGTCAGGGATGATGGGAATTGTAGTCTCAAAACATCTGGAGGGCCAAGGTTGAGGAAGCCTGATTTAGGGTACGGGTAATCCCATCTCTCTGTGTTACTGTGCCCTGTTCCTCTTTACTAAAATAATGTAGAACTTGCACCATGGTTCAGTTATTGTGAGCAGTGCCTGCTAGGGTCTCTTGGTTTTTCAGCTTCTTGATTTCTCATTTTCTTTACTATTATTAGCAAAACATTCTAATTTGCTCAGGCACAGATAGTAAAGGGTTTCCTCCCTGTCTGCTGATGAACACTATTGGGATTTAAAGGCAGTTTATATTATCTGGGCTGCAAACGTATAGCATGCTTACTTTCTCAGGAATAACCCCATTAAACTCAGTTGGACTTACTTGGAGTAGATGTGTATATGGTTGCACTTTGAATGTTTTTGTTTAATAAATATGCCTCACATATGAATCATTCCCCGCATCTTGCACTCATCTAACCACTATCAGATTGTGGGTCTTTTTGAAGCCAAAGTAGCATCACCCATGCACAAAAAGGAGATACTCAGCAGGCCTGGGGCGTTCCCAAGATTGGCAGATGTAAATGCACTCTCTCTGTGTGTATTTGTATATTTGGTGGAGACCACCAAACAGTCCAACAAGGACTGTGCATGCTTGGTGGACGTGAAATGCCGACAGCCTAGGGTGGAGGGAGGTGAGATGGAATGGAGTTTCCTGTAAAAGGGTATGGCTCTCTGGCTGGAACCCTGAACATGAAGGCATGCTCTGCACCACTGTAGGTTGCACTTGTACATAACTATATTCCTTTTGTTGATTTGCAGCTACTTGGACATTGGAGAACTGAAGAAAAGGCCTATGGAAATAAGTAATGAGGTAAAGTAATTTATACATTAAAACAAACTAGGATCAGTCTGTATTATACTTGAGTCTAGGGAAATGAAAACAAAGCAAAGTTTTATTGAATCAGCTACAATCCTGAAATCACTTACCGGGTGGGTGGGTGGGTGTGTATATCATTGAACGCAGTGGTGCTTGCTTTTGAGTAGACACTGCAAGAGCCACCCTAACAGCTTGAGAGAGACAGACAGCTCCACTCACTTAAAATTTTAACACAACTGCTCTAGATCTTTGCCCCAGACTTCCACTTGGTTTCTCTTAAAGAGGCAGTAACTTCTTAATGATCTGATGAAGTGGATTGCAGGCAATGAATTTGTCATGTGCCACAAGACTCTTTGCATTCGCATGTATTGATAGCTGATTGTCAGGGTTGGAGTCAGACGCAGGTCAGCATGAAAGACTCAGGGCTCTGTTGTCAGGGAAGTTAACTCTTTATTCAAGGAAACGTACAATTCAGCAACCCTTTCCAGGAGGATTGCCAGGACTGAAGGTCCCTGCCTTCCACCTTTTCTAAGGCTCCTCGTTTCCTGGATGTTTCCCAAGCAGTCTCAAACTGTGGCTCCTCACCTCTGGCTTCTGTTCCACTCTCATTATCCTGCATGATATTGGAGACTGGGGGGAGCAGAGCTTGTTGCAGAAGGGGTGGGAGACTCCTTGGATTCTTCAGCGGCCTCTTTCCCTGCCCCCTGCTTTAGTCTCAGAATCTGAACTGCTCTCTGCCACGAGCTCTTCCTGCTCACTAAACCCTGTTGCCCCACCAGCATCCATCCCCTCTTCTCAATCTTCTCCCTCTGATCTCTCCTCAGTGTCCCACCACCAATCCCCTGGCTCTGAGCCTTCCTCCTCGGTGGTTTCCCTTCGGGGTTCCCAGCTGGTGCCGCCCACCACTTGTCTTCATCCAGCATTGTTAACAGACCCTAATCATGTTTCACAACTACAGGAAACAGAACAAATGAATTTTGCCTCTGGAAACCCCTGCAACTTGTAATCCTGTAATATTTGGGAGCTCAGACCATAATTTTAGTTCAAAACTGTTATTAGTGGCAACCATTTTTTGGTGTGATCTATGAACTTTCTAGTTAGTTTATGCTAACTCAGCATCTATTTTAAAGTTAAAATCCAGTGTCTTCTGGATTATTTGTTTGTGTTTGTTTTTTCTTTGTTGCTGTGGATCCCTTGTCTTATTCGCGGAACCAATTTCCCTGGAGTAAAAGACTGTAAAGAAGAGTGAAAGGCAGGCTGCACTATTCAAACAGAATTGTTACTATAGTTCATGGTCATTTAACGCAGAAATAAAATAGGAAATTAATATTTTACAGTGATTATTTCCTGCAAGTGAGACAGACTAATTGTATAGTATCAGTAATTCTAATTCCACCAGCATGTTCTGCTTAGTACATGAACTAAACTTATGTCAGTGAAATCTCTGAATGGATTTCATTGCTAGAGAGAGTACAGTTTTTGATGGAGTATGTAATGTAGAATGAAGATGCATGTTCAGAAACAGGGAAATAATAGCACCTAAACTACTCATTTGTACGTGCCATAATAGGTTAAAAGGTATAGGACCCTGGAAGGTTAAGTACAGTCAAAGGCGACTATGGGGTGTGGCGCTCATCTCACTTTAGGCCGAGGGAGCCGACATTTGTCCACAGACAGCTTTCCGGGTCATGTGGCCAGCATGACTAAACCAATTCTGGTGCAATGGAACACCATGATGGAAGGTAGAGTGTAAGGAAATGCCATTTACCTTCCTGCTGCAGTGGTACCTATTTATCTACTTGCACTGGTGTGCTTTTGAACTGTTAGGTTGGCAGAAGCTGCGACAGAGCAACGGGAGCTCACCTTGTTGCGCGGATTCAAACTGCCAACCTTCCAATCAGCAAGTCCAAGAGGCTCAGTAGTTTAGACCACAGTGCCCAAGTTAACACACCCTTAACTTAGATTTGTTTAGAGAAGAGGCTAATTTGAGGCTCAAGTTAAAAGTGAGGATAGTTTAAGTGCTCTTTCCTTACCATTTTTATTTTTGTGAATAACATGCACATTGTCTTTGATTTGTAGAGTTGATTGCCTTTGCAGTTCAGCTCTTACATTTTGCTTATATTTGGGAACCCTACTGGCTTTAAATTAGGCAGGGAGGAATTTTCGTTGACATGTCTTTGGCTTGTGTTTTTTAAAACTAGGGTGTTTTTTAAAACTAATCATATTTTGTAGTAAGTGACTTGGTTGACTTCTTTTAGTACTGTAATCTGGAAGTATCAGCCTTGCAGGCACCTTGTGAGTTTATGAAATCCAAATAATGTGGGTAGGATCTGTGGTAGGATTGTTTTATCTTAATCTGTCCGCAGCAGTTTGTTTCAAATGACTTTTTGATCGCTTTCAGCTGTCTGAGTCATTGAACATTTTCCTCAATCTCTTCTCTTTTATGTTGCATTACAGTCTTTAACATTCCTTCCTGGAAGTAGGTTCCATTGAAATCAATGATACCCCCCCCTCCAGGATAAATATGTAGGATTCAGGTATAAATTTCCAAGTCTTCTCTGAGAGAATAAAGGGAGTGATTTAAGAAAAAGAATGTGATGTGCCAAATGGTACAATGGTTTTTGTACTTGTGTGGTGAATGTACAGTGGCACCTCAGAATCCGTTCCAGAAGTCTGTTTGACTTCCAAAACGTTCAAAAACCAAGGCGTGTCTTCAGATTGGCTGCAGGAAGTTCCTGCAGCCAACCGGAAGCCATGGAAGCTGCGTCGGACATTCGGGTTCCAAAGAACGTTCACAAACTGGAACACTCACTTCCGAGCTTGCGGTTTTCGGGAGCCAAAACATTCGACTCGCAAGGCGTTCGCGAACCAAAACAACTGTATTGAATATGTACAACCCTAGCATTATCTAAGCCTCACATATATTTACTAAAGTGGTTAGATGGAAGTGCAATCCCGTGCAACTCAGAACTCACAATTCTATTCACCCACATACCGTTTTGTTCCTTTTAAGGAAGCAAGAGAAGTAGAATTCTTTAGCTGGGACTCTTTTTCTTGCATTAAGTGGTAGCTAACGGAGGAAACAGGACTGGACAGCAATATCAAATGAATCTTCACTGAATCAAGATTTCCCCATGCAGTAATTTCAGTCATTGCCATTAGATAATGACATGAAAAAAATTCTATTTGTTTTACTGTATCTTTCATTGCAAAGTACACTGTACGTTCAATTTCCATGAAATACATTTTCAGTAGTGTCTTAAGTCTTTTTAATTTAGGCAGCATTCCAAAACCCACTTTTAAGCCTCGTTGAACTCAGTGGGACTTCAGAGTAGGCGTGTAGAGGGTTGTCCTGGGAACAGCTTTTCTTTAAGAGGTTGATGTAAAGATCCAGAACAGGGATCTCCTTTATTTATAGTGAAGTAAATTATGTGCTGACAACTTTACTATCTAGGATAAGTCAACATTTCAGAAATAAGATTTGTTAAAAACAGTGAGGCTTGATTTATGAAGCATTTGCGTTCTATTAAAAGGGCAATCCATTATGTTCTCTGGGAATGTAGTATTGTAGAATAAAAATGACTCGTACTTAAAAAGGAGAACCAATAGCTTTATTTCTTGCTGGTTGAGTGACCCGGCTGCTGAAGCACTGGATTTAGCATCTTAAAACTCTGGGAGAGCATAGCTCTCCAAGTTGTTTGATAGTTAGTATCTTGGTAACCTAATTAGCACAACACGCCATACAAACACTGTTATTCTTCTGAAATGAATACCTTGAGGATTCAGTGCAACGTTGACCAGAAAGCCTGTGAAAACAAAGATGATGCTTCTGGTTTACACATGTTTTGCTAATTGCAACCGTGTCCTTCAGAAAGATAATGGCCAAACATACTAATGTTGGACCTGGAGGCTAAATGTGGCCCTCCAGGCATCTCTGTCTCACCCTTGGAACTCTCCCCAGGCCATGTCCCACCATAGCACTGCTCTACACCTGCCTCAGGTGTTTTTGCCTGGTGAGAATATGTCCATCAACTGCAATAATGCCCCTAGCTTTCACGGATGGTCAAGGGGTATAGAAACATGTGGCTTATGTTGTTGGAATGTAGGCTACTGTACAAAGGTAAATATGTAGCTCCACCCACTTTTTGCCCATTGTTCCACCCACCACTGACCTGTGGGCTACGCATGAGGAAATGAAAATGTTTCTTCATGCCAATCTGTGGTTATACCAATGAATATAGTCCAGTCCAGTCCCAACAAGAGGCAATGCTGGTACATGGATGCTGGTACAGCTAACCCTTTTTACCCAACATACCCCTAGGATTTCTGCAAACTGGTTGCAGAGGTACACATGTGCAGACAGAAGGATCCTGCACTTTGTGCTAATACAGCTCCCTATGCATGCTCAGAAGGAACAGGCTATGGTTGTGACAGGGGATGCGTGGAGAAGAAGCTCTGCCAGCAAGTGGCTTGGGGAAAGGAACTGGTGTTTCTGTGTAGTCTACTGAATGTTTATATGCATGTTTTGCAGATATCTGACATTAATTCCTATGTTTGGCAATATGCTTGCTTAGACCTCCTCATTTTCTGTAATTTGTCCTTGTCATTGTAACAAAAGAGTAGGCCAACATCTCGCTCGCTCTCCCTCTCTCTATGCATATATGTAAAAACAAGATGCAAATGGGTGAGAAGAGGGGTTAACTCACAGATCAGTCAGTGAAATCTTGATAAGAGAGACTAGATTTCTTCTGTTAGTGATGCAAAGCATCCACATACTTGGAGTAAGCTGTTACTGCTTTGGGGGGCAATCTAATCATATGCAAAGAACAGTGATTTCATAAATCTGAATAAGCTTTTCCTTTGTTCTAAATAAAAACATATTTTTTTTTACACTCTCTGGTTTCTTTTCATTTGCCTGATAGCCTTTCAACCTGATAGCAAGAGCATGTAATCAGACTTTTGGGTTCCCTTGACCTCAGTCTGTCCTAAGGGAATGCAAATATTTATACTCAGTTTACCAGGGAGGACTGAATATAATAGACCATTGTATTGAACTGCCCTAGCTAACCATGGTTCATTAAATGAGCTGATCAACTTACTATGTGCGGCTGCGACGAAATCTTCAAAATATAAGGAGGTCCAGGTAGAATGTGTTTATGAAGAATTAGATTTGGAAATTGATGTTCCATTTAGATATATACGTCCTTAATCCTGTAACAAAAAGAGGACGTTGAACAAATTTGTCTCTAGACATACTATACATCCAAGCTTGCTTTTTGTAAAGAGATTGAACTGAAATATGATACGACAAACAGTGTGAGCTAACAATTTTAGGGGTGCAGAGCTCAAATACAGTAATGGTAGATCATCCAAAACAGAAATTGCTTGAATCTTAAGTACTCCTTACCATTAAGCACGTCAGATGAAGTAGGCTGTTACCTTTCAAAGCCTGACAATTATTTGCCTCAGTCTATTTTATTGATTGCATGTTTATTTGTTAATTTTATATCTTATCTTTCCACCCAAAGGAACCCAGGGTGGCAAAAGCTAATTGGTATGGTAGTGGTGCACAGTATTTGCAGCCTTCTCATGTTTATTTTTAAAACTATATACGTAAGTATAAGCCAAATCACCTCGTTGTGCTTCATATTATCTTGCCCTCTGAGGTGAAGAGATTACCCCATTGGCCTTGGTGTAGCATTAATAGCTTTTTGATGTCTCTGGAACTAGAAATGCAAGCCAAAGCTACCTGTTATGGTGGGGGGAGAAATGAAGTGTGTGTGTCTGTGTGTATTTATGTGCGCAATGATCAAAAGAGAAAATACAAAAAAGGTTAGAAATAGTTTGCATCTGATCAGCAGACCAAGCTGAGGTGAAATGCTTCTGATTCTTGTGGGAATTTATGCTGCTTTAGGCATGAGGTGGAGAGTGGAATTCTGGAAAATGAAAATCAATATTGTTCCATCATGTCAACATAAAAGCTTTAGTAGGGCTAGAATGTCTTTTTCAACCCAACGGTCATGCTGTAATTTTAGTTTAGACTGGAACATACATAAATTCTGTGAAAAGGTATGGCAAAATAGAACAGGGAAGTAAGGAGAGATGGAGAATAAAGATATTTACTGGGTTAATAAATAGTGATAACTGACCAGTTTCCACGCATATAAAAGAACAGTGTGGCTAGTTTTATATCTGATAAACAGATATTATTTTAACCACATCAGATAGGTCACTACATCCATTCATATTAAAACAATCTGCTTTAAAAATATGTTGAAAATAAACAGATGATAATGAGTGTAACATGCTAAATGTGTTATTTTGTTTTTTGCCAACAGTTGGCACTGGAAGATGTAAGTATCCGTGTTGGATTTTTATTGACAAATTGCTAAATTGTCTAAACGTTTTTGAATAAGGTTTATCATGGTATAAGAATGAATGTTACATACAATGTCATTGGGTGGTATCTCACTTCAGACACATTGATTTCAGTGCATATACTCTGAATATTACATAGTAGGACACTTGCCATAATATATAATAGCTTTGATCCACGTATACGTTTGTAGTCTACTTCCTACTCCTGTGCAGCAACAGAGACTTTGCATGTACAACCCCAGTAAAGCTGTTGGTAAAAGTAGTGATTACTGGTTTGACAAGGGTGGAGGGACTGAATTCAGCCTGCTTTTCCCCCTCCCATCCTCTGAAAAAATTGATCTCTGGTGGTATTGTGGCTAAACAGCTGCAGATGGTTATAGAAGCAATTTTGTTGTAGGTTATCACTTTGTTGTGAATTTAGCAGTAGATCTGATTACCTATTTAGGATTGCCAAGGCCTCTGAGGCTCAGACCCTAAGACAGAGAGAGTGGAGCCTGGGCACTCAAGAGTAGTACCTCTTGGCACACAAAACAGAAGCCTATATGCATCTTTTAGGTATATCTCACGCCTTATTCTTTGTGTGATCTCTAGTGGATTTTTATTGTCCTCTTCCCAACATGTTATCAAAATATATTTAATACACATGCAATGGTGTTTGTTTCTAAGTTGCTCCATTCCACAGAAATAGAGGGAGAAATACTAGAGCAAGAAGAATATTCTTGGAATGGGGTGGTTTAAAATCAGACTGGAGGGGAAGGCGGGGGACTAGATTGCCCAGTGGGCCCTGAGTCCTCAACTCAAGATCTAACTTCTTTCCCTGATGAGCCTGAGAAGGAGGCTGTTATATATTCAGTGGTCTGTGTTTGCCTGAGTTTGAGTCTGGACTAAGGATTCTGAGTCCCTGTGTTCTGATTTGATACATGATATCCAGTCACAGAACAGTTCAGGATTTGGGCCTCTGCCATTGGCCCTTAAACTATGACTTATGATTCGCAGCTTGGAAGTTTAGACAGCCAATCATGTTGAGAGTGGGAGTGGTCCAGGCCTCCAGAAATGTATACAGTGGTACCTCGGGTTACATATGCTTCAGGTCACATATGCTTCAGGTTACAGACTCCGCTAACCCAGAAATATTACCTCGGGTTAAGAACTTTGCTTCAGGATGAGAACAGAAATCGTGCTCTGGCGGCGCGGCAGCAGTGGGAGGCCCCATTAGCTTTAGTGGTCCTTCAGGTTAGGAACAGTTTCAGGTTAAGAACGGACCTCTGGAACGAATTAAGTTCTTAACCCGAGGTACCACTGTACAGTATAAGCAGTTGCTTTGCCCCTGTTGTCCAGTTCCGTAGTTCAATAAAGGTTCTTGCTGTTATCACTGTGTCTTGCCAAACAAAACTTTGAGGTAGAACATGATGTCTAGATGAAACCCTCCACCCCTATTCTCCCCCTCTCATAGGTAGTGAGCATGCTTAGATCTCATTGGGGTTTTGTATGCTCTCTTAGGTTTTCTTTTCTATTTAAAAAGGGTGTTCTTTTTCTACTGTAAACTTTAGGGTTCACCATGAGCATGGTGATAACTCCTTCTTGTTCCTCAGTGGTTCCATTTTGGCTGCAATTCTCACCAACTGAACTTGCTATTTGGAGGAGTGATGAACCACCCTCCTACATATCCAAGTGCCCAGAGTGATGTAGGAAAAAAATCTACTTTTACTAGTTAGAAAACATTTAAGAAAAGATTCTTCCATTCTCTAGGAACTTGGAATTTACTTTACAGTACTAATATTCTGTGGGGGTGTGATCCTTAGTAAGTATGGTTAGAGTTGCAAGCTTCAGTAAGTTTAGGCTGGAACATACTTTTGTAAAACATACATAGGATCATCATATTAATCATGATATTAATGATATTAATCAAGTGTTTCAGTGACCGATAGGAAGAGACTTGTTTCAACTGGCAAGGGCAAATTTTAATTTGTGATACTGAAAATAAAGCACACACACATATATTGACCCTCCATGTCAATTGTAATATGGAATGAAAAAGAAGTAAGTGAGGATGACTCTACAGACACTGAATGATATTGACAATGTCTGCATTAACAACATGATCCTGTCTACTTAGAAATAAGTCCTCTTGATTCAGTGTGACTTGTCCAGGTAAAGGGATATGACAGATGGAGAAGCTTCAGCTCACAGGTTAATCTTGGCCTGTTGGGGGAGTCCAGTATGGTCCGCAAGCCCATTTTTCCAAAATCATGCCCACTTGTCAGCTAATGTCACTGAGTGATGTCAGCTGCTGGGCAGTGTTTTTCCTCAATCCTGCTGGGATCTGCTTCACACGCTAGTGAAATGGCTCCCTGACGAGAGCAGGACTGAAGTCTTTTCTCATCAGCTGATGAGCAGAGAGATCAATTTCGGCATGCCGCTTTGCCAGCACATTACCTATAGGAAATGCACGGGCAGAACAGAACCCCTCCTCCCATCCCATGGCGCAGGACAGGTGGGCAGGGCCCCCCACCTAGCATTCGCCTTGAGTCATCATGTGGTCAGGTGATTGACAGGTGGTCACTCTGCCCACCTGTCAGTTGGCTCAAGGGGTGCGGGAGCATAAAGGTTCCCTGCTCCCGATTGCCACCTAAATTGTAAATTATTTTGCATGCCCTTCAGTATTTCGAAAGGTTGCCTTTACTGAAGCTTTGGTAATTTGAAAATGTGTTTTTGAGGCATCAGATCAAGGCCTGCATTTTAAAATGAGCTTAAAAAATATATTTGCAAATGTTTGTATGTCTCATGCCAGGCATAAAGCAGCTGGCTAAGTACTTTGGCAGATGTTTATCTCCTTGAACAGCCCCCCCCCCCGATTTATAACAGGAGACACGTTTCTTAAAGTTGTAAAAGGAAATTACAGGCTGGGAGCAAAAGGTCATATTGACCATACAAATTACAGAATACAATCAAGCTGCAAAAACACAATTAAGAGTTGGTAAATAGTAAAATTTATTGTTTAACAGAAAATAATCCCATGTGCCTCCCATCAGACTCGAGCCACATCTTCCTAAGGTTAAAGGGCAAGAGCTAATAGAAACAGCAGCTGGCTTGAAAGGGGGGTGTAAATTTAAGGGGTTGCTTTTGGAAACTGTTTTTACTAAGTTCCTTTCCTTCTAAAAATCTATCTATGTTATGTATGAAATATATTGGCTTAAATGTAATTATGCAAAGGATTTAGAAAGTAAGAAATGTTAGATTCTTATGTTAGATTCTTATTTCATTGATGGTGTGTGAGAAGGTGAACCCAAGATCTCTGTTTAAGATAAAAATTAAAACCATTAGCCATCTGTTTTGGAGTGAATAGGGCAATAGGGCAAAGATGATCTGATAATTAAGGTGCCTTGTCGAGGCAAATGTAAGATATATGGCTACTTGTCTGCCATTTATGGATAGAAGGAAATATAGCTCTTTGTCTCCCATAAAAGGTAATAGGAAATGGGTGTATCTTTTATGATTGGTTCTAGCAAACAGCCAATAGGAATTTCAACCAGGCTGATTGGACAGAGGCAGCCAAAGGAGGAGCAAGGGGGCTGGGCTGAGGAAATATAAGTGCTGGCCATCAGGGCTGGAGTGGGCAGAGCTTTGGTATCCATATACCACTGTGTCTCTCATTTATTTGTCTGACAAATAAATTATTATTTTAATTTCTCTATTGCTGCGTTGAATATTTCATTCCAGCTAAGCGTTAACCACAAGCAGGGTGCTACATTTTATTTTTAATTGTTTAATTTACTGATCAGTAAAAAGGCAGGTGATTCTAAAAGTTATTTAAGTAGTTGGCAGCTCTAAAAGTGGCGTGTCCAGCAAAGTTATGTCTTTTGCTCAGTGGCTCCCTTACCATTTTTGCTGACGTCTCCTGTTCCACCAACATACCAAGTTCAGGAGACGGTGGTAACTCATCACTTTTGGCCTGCACTGCACTTAATGCAGCAAACCAAGGTCAACTCAGAGCACAAGCTTCCCATCTCTTTATTGTCGCTACTGTTTTCATTCAGATAAACTGGTGCAGTCTTGTTGTGCTGTAGGGAAAGTGAGACAGTTTTATTTTCTAAAATTAATTTCCTTGCTATTAGACCTAACTTATACTTTCGTGGTAGAATGGAGACAAGTCAAATGTTTGCCCCTTTCCTGCATATATGCACTCATAGTGGTTTACAACTAATCACCTTTTGCGGGTAAGAATGTGATTCCCAGTCAATCACTTCCCTGCTCTCCTCCCAATGGAAGATTATTTGGACTATTAGAATTGACATTAGTTACATGGCTCCAGGCCTTTGCTTATCAAGGTAAATGGGAACGTGGTGGAAGGGAATTTAGGAAGTGGAAGGGAGGATCAGTGATGAGAAGGAAGCATACTTAACCCCCACCCCCTTCTACCCAACTATCCATAGCAAAATCCTTCCTCCCTGAGACAATTCCTTCTTGGCTTAGCTTTCAAATTCAGACCCTGGAGGGCAACATTAGTAATAGAAAATTGATGGATAGGACTAAAGGATGTGGGGGTCAAACCTCCTTTCCCTTCTGCTGATTTCTCCCTGCAAATGCTGCCCATACAGTGGTACCTCGGGTTACAGATGCTTCAGGTTACAGACACTTCAGGTTACAGACTCTGCTAACCCAGAAAAGTACCTTGGGTTAAGAACTTTGCTTCAGGATGAGAACATAAATCACGTGGCGGTGGCACGGCAGCAGTGGGAGGCCCTATTAGCTAAAGTGGTATCTCAGGTTTCAGGTTAAGAACAGTTTCAGGTTAAGAATGGACCTCCAGAACGAATTAAGTTCTTAACCCGAGGTACCACTGTATTAGCATTATGAAGGAAATACTGAGTTTGGCACTCAACGTTTCTCACATAATTTCTGGTTTAGATCTCCTGACAGATCCTTAACATGTGTGTCACCTGCTGTGAGGATCTCCTGATCACAGCCAGTCTGCTTAAAGCAATCTAGGAACCAAGAGTCCTGTTTCTTAAATTAAATTACTACATTTAAATCCCATTGATTTGCAAGCTGTTGTGTTGAAGTTTGAGCCTGTGCAGCTGAGGTAAATAGAGCCTGTCCAACTGAGTCTATCCAGCTGAGTAACTTTGGATTATTGATATCATTTGAAGCATGCTAAGGATCTGTCTACTAAGCAGGTGATTAAAGGCTGCGGTGATGTGAGATCCTTAACATAATTACAGATTCCACGTTGGTTAATATATTACTTTGTGGTTCCTGAGGGGATCGTATTCCAGACAATGCTGTATTGTGGTGATTTGTAAATAAATATATGAGCAGCTGAACTCTAAACCTGAAACTGGAACTTAGGGCGTGTGTGCAATGGAGCCTCCAGTTCAGTATATTACCACACAGGTAGAATTGTGGGAGGCAATGCCACTGGACCATGGTCTTCAAGTGTTAAACCTTTAAAAAACTATATTTACTGTGCAACCTGAACCGATGGCAGTTTGCAGATCATTGGACATCAGCATGGAGGTCATATGACTAGTGAGCTTGCCATAGTTCATCTGAGAAACACCATTCACTGATCAGCTATCATAGCTCATGGCCAAAATATCACATTACACAGTTATATCATTCCCCGCATACCATTTTTTTAAAGGAAAAACAATCAAAAGAAGCTGGATTCTTGAGGACAGGTGGGGAGAAGGGGCTGTTTGACCATTTGCCTGCCATCCATTTTTCTGCTCAAAATCTCCTCCATTGCAATTCCACTCATGGGTGGGAGAAGAAACTGGTTCCAGTGTTTTCCAACCCTGTGGGGAAAAGGAGCAAAGAGTGAGCAATTTGGAACAGGGTCAGCAGCCCAGCAGGGTCAAGCCTCTTTATTACCCTGCCCTACTGATCCTCCAAGCCTCCACCCCCATTGTTCAGGCCGGACACTGAGGTCCAGCTCCAATGGCCTTCTGGCAGTTTCCTCACTGCAAGAAGTGAGGTTACAGTGAACCAGGCAGAGGGCCTTCTTGGTAGTGGCGCCTGCCCTGTGTAACACCATCCCATCAGATGTCAAGAAAATCTACAACTATATGACTTTTAGAAGACATCTGAAGGCAGCCTTGTATCGGGATATTTTTAAGGGCCAATGTTTTACCATTTTTTATGTGTTGTAAGCCGCCCAGAGTGGCTGGGGAAACCCAGCCAGATGGGCGGGGTATAAATAATAAAATTATTACAGTGGTACCTCAGGTTACATACGCTTCAGGTTACATACGCTTCAGGTTACAGACTCCGCTAACTCAGAAATAGTACTTCGGATTAAGAACCTTGCTTCAGGATGAGAACAGAAATCGTGCTCCGGCGGCGCAGCAGCAGCAGGAGGCCCCATTAGCTAAAGTGGTGCTTCAGGTTAAGAACAGTTTCAGGTTAAGAACGGACCTCCGGAACGAATTAAGTACTTAACCCGAGGTACCACTGTATTATTATTCAAGTCTGCAGTCTTTTGTTTGTGCTTTTCCTGAAAACAAAAATGTTCAGGAAAAGAGTAATCCAACCACAAGTGTTTTACAGGCTGTCCCTCAGTTGATTGTTTTGCCTGTGAATAATTCAACCATTAGTGGGGCAGAAGAGCGCATTCTGCATCCCCACACTGAACTCAAAGCACTTCCTTTCCTCTTCTGAAATGGCACAGGAGAAATTCCCATGTGCTTATCAGAGTAGGCATCAGATCTCCCAGCCTCAATAAAATGCAAACAGTATGTAGCTACAGGCAGTGCAGGAGGCCTAAATATGTGAATCTGTCTGTCTCTACGAGAAAACACATACAAGATGCAGGCTTAGGGAACTTACTGCAGTATCTGCTATAAGCAAACATATATTTGGTATTTGGTATAATCAGATGGACCAAATGGAGCAAACAGCACCCAAACCTAGTGGTGGGAGGAAAAAATCCTTAAATAAGAGACACGGGGGAATGATTAATGGACTTCAATGTCTGTACACTAATGCGCAAAGCATGGGAAATAAACAAGATGAGCTTGAGCTCTTGGTACAGCAAACTAAATATGACATAATAGGCATCACTGAAACCTGGTGGGATAAGTCCCACGATTGGAATGTAATAATGGAGGGATACAATCTATTTCAGAGAAACAGACCAGACAAGAAACGAGGAGGAGTGGCGTTATATGTCAGGGATGTGTATACCTGTGAAGAGATCCAAGATTTAGAACCTCAAAGCCAAAGTGAGAGCATTTGGGTCAAAATTAAGGGAGAAAAGAATAACAGTGACCTCATTGTGGGAGTTTACTATAGATCCCCAAGCCAAACGGAGGACATAGATGATGCCTTCCTGGAACAGATGGCCAAGCATGCAAAAGGAAGGGAGATAGTAGTAATGGGGGACTTCAATTACCTGGATATTTGTTGGATGTCAAACTCAGCCAAGAGCATAAGGTCAAACAGATTCCTCACTGGCCTTGCAGACAACTTCATTGTCCAGAAAGTGGGAGAAGCAACAAGAGGAACAGCCATTTTAGATCTGGTCCTAACCAGTGTTGATGACCTGGTTAGTGGGGTAGAAGTGGAAGGATCATTAGGCACGAGTGATCATGCTCTTCTGAAGTTTACTATACAGCGGAAAGGAGCAGCCAAGCATACTAGGACTCAATTTCTTGACTTTAAGAGAGCTGACTTCATAAAACTTAGGGAAGTGCTGGGTGAGATCCCATGGACAGTAATACTAAAAGGAAAGGGAGTTCATGATGGCTGGGAGTTTGTTAAGAGGGAGATAGTAAAAGCACAACTTCAGGCAATACCAATGAGATGGAAACATGGAAGGTGCCTAAAGAAGCCAGGGTGGCTATCTAAAGAACTTTTAACTGAGTTAAGATGAAAAGGATGTGTACAAAAAATGGAAAAGGGGAAACCACCAAAGAGGAATTCAAACAAATAGCCAGCACATGTAGACACAAAGTCAGAAAAGCTAAAGCACAGAATGAACTCAGGCTTACTAGAGAGGTTAAAAGCAACAAAAAAGGCTTTTATGGGTATGTTCGTAGCAAAAGGAAGAACAAAGAAACGGAGGAGAAGATGGTGAAATGCAAACAGGGAACACAGAAAGGACTGAACTCCTCAATGCCTTCTTTGCCTCAGTCTTCTCCGATAAAGAAAACAATGCCCGACCTGAAGAATTTGGAGCAAATGATTCAGCAGAGGAAACACAGCCCAGAATAACAAAGGAGATAGTACAAGAATACTTGGCTAGTTTAGATGTATTCAAGTCTCCAGGGCCAGATGAACTGCATCCAAGAGTATTAAAAGAACTGGCAGATGTGATCTCAGAACCACTGGCAGTCATCTTTGAGAATTCCTGGAGAACAGGCGAAGTCCCGGCAGACTGGAGGAGGGCAAATGTTGTCCCTATTTTCAAAAAGGGGAAAAGAGAGGACCCAAATAATTACCGCCCAGTCAGTCTGACATCAATACCAGGGAAGATTCTGGAGCAGATCATTAAGCAAACAGTCTGTGAGCACCTACAAAGGAATGCTGTGATCACCAATAGTCAGCATGGATTTCTGAAAAATAAGTCATGTCAGACTAACCTGATCTCGTTTTTGACAGAATTACAAGCCTGGTAGATGAAGGGAACGCAGTGGATGTAGCCTACCTTGATTTCAGCAAGGCATTTGACAAGGTGCCCCATGATATTCTTGTAAAGAAGCTGGTAAAATGCAGTCTTGACTATGCTACCACTCAGTGGATTTGTAACTGGCTGACTGACCGAACCCAAAGGGTGCTCATCAATGGTTCCTCTTCATCCTGGAGAAGAGTGACTAGTGGGGTGCCACAGGGTTCTGTCTTGGGCCCGGTCTTATTCAACATCTTTATCAACGACTTGGATGATGGACTCAAGGGCATCCTGATCAAATTTGCAGATGACACCAAACTGGGAGGGGTGGCTAACACCCCAGAGGACAGGATCACACTTCAAAACGACCTTGACAGATTAGAGAACTGGGCCAAAACAAACAAGATGAATTTTAACAGGGAGAAATGTAAAGTATTGCACTTGGGCAAACAAAATGAGAGGCACAAATACAAGATGGGTGACACCTGGCTTGAGAGCAGTACATGTGAAAAGGATCTAGGAGTCTTGGTTGACCACAAACTTGACATGAGCCAACAGTGTGATGCGGCAGCTAAAAAAGCCAATGCAATTCTGGGCTGCATCAATAGGAGTATAGCATCTAGATCAAGGGAAGTAATAGTGCCACTGTATTCTGCTCTGGTCAGACCTCACCTGGAGTACTGTGTCTAGTTCTGGGCACCACAGTTCAAGAAGGACACTGACAAACTGGAACGTGTCCAGAAGAGGGCAACCAAAATGGTCAAAGGCCTGGAAACGATGCCTTATGAGGAACGGCTAAGGGAGCTGGGCATGTTTAGCCTGGAGAAGAGGAGGTTAAGGGGTGATATGATAGCCATGTTCAAATATATAAAAGGATGTCACATAGAGGAGGGAGAAAGGTTGTTTTCTGCTGCTCCAGAGAAGCGGACACGGAGCAATGGATCCAAACTACAAGAAAGAAGATTCCACCTAAACATTAGGAAGAACTTCCTGACAGTAAGAGCTGTTCGACAGTGGAATTTGCTGCCAAGAAGTGTGGTGGAGTCTCCTTCTTTGGAGGTCTTTAAGCAGAGGCTTGACAACCATATGTCAGGAGTGCTCTGATGGTGTTTCCTGCTTGGCAGGGGGTTGGACTCGATGGCTCTTGTGGTCTCTTCCAACTCTATGATTCTATGATTCTATGAAATCTGTGAAAACAAAGCTCTTTTTGTAACCAAAATGACAAATGTCTAAGCAAATGTTTACGTAATCAGGAAAGCTGCAGAGTTAGCTGAATATTGTTTTCATTAGGGTTAATCAATGGCTCTTTTCAGATGAACCGATGAATGCTGTCCTTGCTCCTGAACCGATTTATCCATCTGATTTTCTAAACAAAGCCTATGAGAGTATAACTTGTATGGCTTTGATAAAAAAGATCCAATGAATGAACTGAGACTGGGAATGGGGTCAGTTGCTGTGAGCTCTTCCTTCCCTCTAAGGTGTTCACTGGTTGTATGAAAAGGGATAATCATAGTGTATATGAACTTTTGTTTAAAGTTTTGTTTTTAAGAAAATAGATTTTTCTGAGAGAAGTTCGTTGCTTTACTCTTACACTTGAAAATATGTATGGGCATATTTCACCCCTAATCTCTTTAATTCTCAGAAAATGGATTTTTTTACCTGATCGCAGTGTAAACTCCAGAATCATGGAATGAGCTCATATCCAACTAATGCCTACTCTGAGTTGTTGTTGTTTAGTCGTGTCTGACTCTTCGTGACCCCCTGGACCAGAGCACGCCCGGCACTCCTGTCTTCCATTGCCTCCCGCAGTTTGGTCGAACTCATGCTGGTAGCTTCGAGAACACTGTCCAACCATCTCATCCTCTGTCGTCCCCTTCTCCTTGTGCCCTCCATCTTTCCCAACATCAGGGTTTTCCAGGAGTCTTCTCTTCTCAAGAGGTGGCCAAAGTATTGGAGCCTCAGCTTCACGATCTGTCCTTCCAGTGAACACTCAGGGCTGATTTCCTTCAGAATGGATAGGTTTGATCTTCTTGCAGTCCATGAGACTCTCAGGAGTCTCCTCCAGCACCATAATTCAAAAGCATCAATTCTTCGGCGATCAGCCTTCTTTATGGTCTAGCTCTCACTTCCATACATCACTACTGGGAAAACCATAGCTTTAACTATACAGACCTTTGTTGGCAAGGTGATGTCTCTGCTCTACTCTGAGTAAACCAACTGAAATCAGTGGACTTATTTGTGTCTCTTGATTTCAGTAGGTCCTGATTTTTTTTAAAATGGTAATGTGCTCGTTTTTCCTGTTGTTTGATAGTTGTGTTTCAGGGGTGGGTTTTTTTGTCTGTATAATGATGTGCATTCCATTGTAACACACTTAACAAATCGGCATAATTTGTAATTATTCTCAAAAGAAAAAATAACATGCCTTGGTCACACCATGCACTCCCAAATGATTGGCTTATTTTAGAATGGAACTGTTTTGTTTTCCAGACGCACCAAAGGAGTGCAAAAATACTAATGACTCTTTGATTAGAGGCTCATTTAAAACTCAGATTGCTGCAACATCTATATTTGGAAGATATACACCACTTCACATATTTTTTATGACCTCCCCACATCATTGCGAGGGTGGATCATTTCCACAAGGACTCAAGAAGGAAACGTACTCTATAGCATAGTATCCTGTCGAGAAGCTTTGATAGGTTTCATCAGCTTGAGGAAACTAATTAATTGCACACTTCTGGGAATCTTTTCAATGGCTTGTTCTTTATGATTAGTGAGTCTTTCTTTAGCTCTGCAATGTTAGAAGGCAATCATCCTCTGAAGTCACATACAAAACACCATCTAGAAAAAGATTTGATTTCCCACTGGTTAGATGTGCCAGGCTGCCCCATTAGCAGTCCAAATTCTGTAATAGTTTGCCTGAAACTTTTACTGGGGTAAGTGCGTAGTTCTGAGTGTATTTTAACTGCAGGTGTAGCTTATTGGGTTTCAGTATGAGAGTTGAGTGCAAGGATATGTCATCCTGGAAGTTTTGAAAGGGCTCAGAAGTGCATTTGAATACTGTATATGTGTAGAAGCACTGATGCTGTGTGGGTTTCTTTTCTGAAGGGTGGGATATAAATTGAAATAATAGTTAATAAATCATCATTGGAATCCATTACTGTCTAGAGAAGTACTTCTACACTTAGTCCTTGTGACCCACTATGTAGAGCAAAAGCTCTAGCAGTTCCTGAAAAGCTAGGGAGCTGAAAAATATTGCTAGTTTTTAGAACACTTTCTAAGGAAATCTCTCCCTCTCCCTGGAACATCATGCTTCCAGTTCATGGTTCCTCTCTAATTCAAGAATTAAAGTTGCTTATTTTTTTGTGGTGGGTGGAAAAATAGCCTGTTACATAGGTGGCAACTCCCTGGGGACCTGAGTGACCCAGCACCCACAAAAATCCCCATGAGGAGGCTGGGCACCCACAAATTTCGGTGCCAGTGCCATGCACACTCCATGGCACCCATGGCCCCGGGCATCCATGGTCGTGGGGCCAAGTTGGCACTTCTGGCCTGCTACCAACCATGCCTGCCACTCCCCTGAGATGGCCATTTTGGGGGGGCTTTTGCTGGCGTAGGGGTTTTGGTTCAGCCAGCTGAGGCCGGGAAGATGGGATTATGGTGATGTATCTCCAGCTCAGACAGGATCTGATGCTTATTCCAGAGATCCACCATTTTCCAACTCTCTTGTCCCTGTGGATTTTGGGGTTGGATTGTCCCCTAACACAGGAAATCTTTAAACATGGCACAGAAAGGAGGGAAGGGGTGCATGTGGACAATGCCCACAGGCACAAGCCTCATGTATATATAGGATTAATAGGCTCAGATATGTTCTGCTGAACTAGGTTTGGACTGCTTTTACAGAGTATTATGTCTAAACCAATACTTTGCCTCATTTAGACATGAGGAGCTGTTAAGGTGGATATAGCTTGATAGCCTCCTGGCTGGTATCAAATGGGAGATAGATTTCTTTCCAAGCCGCTGAACATGGACTATGAGAAACAGCTAAGAAATTAGCAGATCTGACACTGGGAGGCCAAATTTCCTGTGACTCAGCAACACCACTTGCAAATCGGTAGGCACTAATTAACTTTTGAAGTTCAGGAAAGTCGTGGCTAGAAATAACACAGCTACGATGAAGAAGAAAAACTAAGGATTTTGATGAGAAAGTGGAAAGCACAATGTCAACAAAAGCAGAAATAAAACATGACTACAAATCAGAGTGGTATGCAATATGCTTAAGGTTCTGTTAGAAAATTGGTCCTGGGAAGAATAAGGTGAGATTTTAAATAGATGTCATAATGACAAGTTGAGACAGAATCAGTTGCTGATTTATTTATTTTTTAAATCTTTCAGGTGAAGCCAGTTTCCCATAGCAGAATCAATGTGTCTGCACGGTTTAGAAAGCCTCTTCAGGAGCCTTGCACTGTTTTGTAAGTTGGGTTTTCTGATAGGCAGTTTGAGCATCATTATTTTGAAGAACATCCAACTGATTGCAACTTTTCATGTCCTCTTCTTAGCCTGATTGCTAATGGTGACCTCATAAGCCCGGCCGTGCGTCTTTTCATCCCCAGAAGAGCACTGAATCAATGGGATCATGTTCTTGAAATGGTTACTGAAAAGGTTACACTCAGAAGTGGCGCTGTGCACAGGTAAGATGAAATGGCACGTTGTCAATGTGACCACAGTTTCAGGTTTTTGCTAGCAAAGTGCAGCTGAGCAGGACCAAGTTCTAGGGGGGGAAAGTGCTCTAATGTTGTACATATACATAATAAACTGGGTTTTCAGCCCTTTTGCTACTAGGTAGAAGCTGCCAGCAGATGCATGAACTATTTGCTCGGTTGATGCTCTGCAGTGGCACCTGAAAGTGGTATTGGCTGCCTTGCATCGGCTGCAACTGGCTGATAGTGTCTTGCCATATAGGCAGCCTGGGAAATCCTTAGGTTTCCACTCCGTAATTTCTCCTCACCACAATCTCCAGACTATTTTAAAATAAACATTACTGTGTGCCTGAGCACACCTGGGTCACCCCATGTACACGACTATGATAATGGTTCAGGTAACTATAGGACAGTGCTTGGGGGGAAAATTGCATTGGCTTAGATCTTCCCTGTGGCCAAACCATTCTAGGACTTCTCATCTTTGCTTGAACACCTTTCTTCATTCCCTTGTTCACAGTAAGTCAAAAGCCACCTTCAGACATTCAGAGTGAAGAGGGCAGCAGAGGCACACTGCCCCGTCCCAAACATTTCTGCCCCATGTGAGTCACCTTGACTTCCTATGTTCAGTGTGAAGGTCTGAAGGGAACACAGAAGTCTCCAAGTGACCAGGAACCCTAGGTTCATACAAACATGCTTAGAAACCCCTTTTAGAGATCTTCCCACTCAATATGGAAAGGTTGGGGCAGCACTTGAAAGACAGGGATGGTGTGCATCTGGATTGGGGGTTTCCAGTTCTGCTTTGAAAGCAAACTGGTCCAGATCCAGAAGAGAGCTTTTGTTTGGGAAAACCCAAAAGGTAAAGCATGTTACCTTGAGAGGCATTTGTACAGCACACTGTGTTTCTTCCCTTTTGCTTTTTCCATGTTTCCTGTAAATCCAGTTTTTGCATTTGATTTCTTAAAACGTTAGAGGACACATTGAGCTAGCTAGTACGATTTATCATTGCTTGTTTAATAATTAACAAATTAGCTATTGTGACTTGTGGTAGCTGAACTATCATTAGCTTAGCTTCCAGTAAAGGCCATTGATTCTGAAAAACATAAAAACTCTTCATTAAAGAAATGGATGCAACGTTTAGAGGGTTCAGTACAGCCAAGACCGATCTGAACATTAGTGTGGGCTTTTTCCTCAATTACACACATCAGTAGCCATACAAATGGCACGGCTTGTGCATTACATTTCAGTTGTGGACAATGGGGGCACTTACTTGACCTCCCGACAGCTGTGCTGCTGTTGTTTACTGAGAGGGGTAAGGTGGTGGGAAGTTGGCATTGCAAATGTACCAGTAGGAGTGCTGGATTGGCCCTGCTAGTATATTCCCATGTTGCCACACTCCCCCTTGCCTTGCTCCTCCCACTTCCCTTCCAGGAAGCAGCAATGACCCTCCTGCCAGGAGGTCAGGTTAGTGCCACTGCCCCACCACACTGTCTGATGATGCAACATTTCTGGTGTCTCAGAGAGGTTAATGGGCAGGCAAACCCTGTATAGTGTTGTAAACAAAATCTGCCCTTCTACCCATATGGGGTATCCAAGAGCCCATATAGAGTCCTACGTAGGTTCCCTATTGGTAGGAGAAAATAACAGAGGCCAACCAGAAAATATTGAGAAGCAAAGCAGCTAGTAAGCCTGATCTTTATTGATCTGTTGCAACAGGGTCCTCACTCACCACACGCAGGAGGGAGGAGGAACCCCGAACAATGGCGCGCAAGGCCTTATATAGACATTTTAAATTCCCTGCCCTGGAGCTCAAGACCACCCCTCTATACATCATACATACATCACAGAAGGGGTGTAACCTAAGACCACCCCCCAGATACATCATATCTACATCACAGCAAAGGCGGTCTAAAACAGAAATTTGAATGTTGTTTTTCTGTCCTTGTTTATCTCCTGTCTGGCAGGTTACTTGATTGGATTGCATGGGGAGCCTGACCAGTCTTTTGTAATGATAAATTCTTAGTTCCTGGGCCAGGTCACAGGCTCACACCCTATTCATATCTTAAATGTGCCCTTAAGACAGGATTTGTGAGGAAAGTGACAATGGGGAGGTTTGACCTTGCAGAGAAAACATTTGCTCAGTTTGGGAATCAAAATGGTTTCAGGTCGGTCTTCCTGTGCTGATCTACGTACGTGCTTGGTTGGTTGGTACACTTATGAACATTTAACATATATCCAAGACCTCAAAATTCCTATCACAATAGCACTGAGCAGGGGTGGAGAACTGCATCTGGCTGGCGGGCCAGGTCCTTATTTCCCTGCTCCCTGGCAGGCCAAATTTGCCAAGTGGATGTGACATTCCAGCCTGACAGCTCTGAGCACATCCCTGTAGTTTGCACATGCCTATAGCCACTTCCGCCTGAAGCAGAGGACCTGTTTAGATTGGGCTGCAGAAGTTGTAATTCCCAAGAAACCTTCCTCCTATGCACACAAGCTCCATTTGACCATGTGAACTCCAGTGTCTAAGGGCTGTTCCCTCAGTTATAATTTTATAATAGAAGAATGCCTATCAATCACACCTGTGATAAAGATCACAGCATGGGAAATGCGTGTTTATGTTTGCTTGAGTCATGGCTGGTGCACTGCATCACCCTGTTTATGGTGACTGCTCCAGTGATGGGTGGTCCATGACGGTGGCAATATTGGGAATTAGTGGTAACTGGTTGCTCATGTGAGAGAGTTTTGTTTTGTTTTGTTTTGTTTTGCATAAGCTGAATGCTTGCAGTATAACCAGTGTGAAATATACTCAGAGTCGAGAGTGGATTTCATGCTCTTTATTCAGCTCAAAGTGGTGAGGAAGAATGAATGTTTCCCCAAAGTATCTGCCTTATATACATTATCTACACAATGGGCTGTACGTGATTGGCTAATTCCGGAATTCTCCTGTAGGCCAATCAGGTTGTGGATTCACTTCCATCTGGAGCTGGATTGGATTGGGTGGCTCCTGCAGACCAATCATACTGCTGCATTGCTCTAGGACCAATCAGACTGCTGCATTCTGAATCCTATTGTTCTAGGACCAATCAGACTGCTGCATTTTGGATCCTATTCAACTCAGTACATAACACAGTGTATGGTATATTACCTCTGCACCAATATAATTATCTAAAATCTTACCTACTTGTCTAACCTCATTGGGACAAACAGGTCCTATGTATCACTTGCTACAGACTTTATTCATTTATTCATTCATTCATTCACAATGATTCACATGTTTATTTCCTGCCTTCCTTCAAGGAGCTCATGGCTGTGTACATCAGACTGAGAGTTAGGGACTGGCTCTAAGGCTGTCCATTAAGCTTCATGGCCAACTGGTGATTTGGTCTAACACTCTCGCTCCTATACTATGCAGACTCGCTGAAAATTTGGCTGCCATCACAACCTACCTTGTGTAAAACTTCACTTTAAACTTGCAGCAAAATTGGTGAAGGCCAATTCCCCTTTTCTCTGCTTAAAAAAAAGAAAGAAGTAATGTCCACTACCGAATTCAGGGAGGAAATCAGTGAGGTTTTCTAATAACTTCAGAAGTTTATCCTGTACTGTTGTGTCTTGCCAATGATTGGGTTTAATGATTGCATTTTACTGTTGAATTATTTAATGTTGTTTTATACTAATTGGAAAGTGCCTTGCGATCACTTGTCTGTGTCGAAGGGTCATCTAGAAATTTTGTGAAATAAATAAATTTCTTGATGTCACAGTTTCTTTTAATCTTATAAGTGACATTCGGGTTCATTTCCATCAGCTAGCATTTCAATATGGGAAACATCCCCAAGGGTTACTAGTATAGTGATTGCTCTGTGACTGCATGTCAAACAGTAGTTAGCTACATGCACAATAACCCCATTAAAGGTAAAGGGACCCCTGACCATTAGGTCCAGTCATGGCTGACTCTGGGGTTGCGGCACTCAAATCGTTTTATTGGCCGAGGGAGACGGCGTACAGCTTCCGGGTCATGTGGCCAGCATGACTAAGCCACTTCTGGCGGACCAGAGCAGCGCACGGAAACACCGTTTACCTTCCCGCCGGAGCAGTACCTATTTATCTACTTGCACTTTGACATGCTTTCGAACTGCTAGGTTGGCAGGAGCCCATTAGGCTATGGGAAATTCAAGTGGACATGCACAGTTTAACAAATCAATTAGAATGTCTCAAAATCTGGCCAGTTCTAAATGGGTTTTGCTGGCAATCTGTGTTGGTGTCAGTATTTTTTCTTAATAAACTCAGAGATTTTCTGATCTGAGGAGCACATTGCAAAGTTTAAGTGGACAACACAGTCAATGATCAGTATGGAGCTATGTGGAAGAATTACTGCACTCTGAGCTCAAGTACTTAAAAGTGTGATGTTTCCTTTAAGGGGGCCTTATACTTGCTGAATTCTTTGAGGTTTTAACCAGTAGACTGCTGAATAATTAACTACACTGATTTCCCATCAGCATTTTAAAGCACACTATAGATGAACTGGCCTTCCATCCCATCTAGTGGCTCTTATTAGTGGTGCAGTTGTGGAACAGAGCTTCCCAGGATATTTAAGAGATGCTGGTAGATTTGCCTTTTTGTTTGGTATAACGTAAGTGGTAGCAAAATGCTAAGTTTGGTTTCTGCAGATGATAGAACATGCCCCTCCCCCAAAAGGTATTCTAGGAAACCTGAAATTTCAGAGTTATAGAGAGTGAGCCCAGCTTCAGCTGGGGAGGGCGGGATATAAATAAAATCTATTATTATTATTATTATTATTATTATTATTATTATTATTATTAGATCAGCAATATATGCATTTAGCAATCCTGCACCCCTCAAAGCCAACAGTCCAACTGAGCTTAGAGATTTAAATATTAAGCAACTGAGAAATGCTTTTAAAGAAACAGCTCACCCCAATTTCAAAAATTGTTGTTAAAAACAAGAAGCGTTGTCACTGTTTCTAAGAAGAAGGACAAAGCGAGTACTGATAAAGCTTACATGGAAAGGCATTGGAAAAGACATATTGTATTAGGCTTGTTTCCTCTACAACTTGGGACCAAACTCAGGTAGACCTCGGAAAGAGCCCTGTCTGAAACCCTGGAGAAACCACTGCCAGTTGGCACGACAGACTAATTGGTCTGATGCAGTATAAGGCAGCTTTCTGTCTTCCTAACACACAACTGGTGGGAGCCCTGCTAGTGGTTCTTCAGACAATTCCTTCCAGTTTAGTTGACATTGTTCCAATGATGGGGCAAAGTGGGTGCCAAGGGCAAATTCTTCTCTCTTCTGGAAGAGGGCTCACAATGTACCACTAGAGTTCTCAGTGGTTAGTTCGCTCTTTGAAGGGTGTGGATTATTTATTTCACTTGCTAAAGGAAAGTGCTCATATATTTTACAGGCTCTACACTTTAGATGGAAAACCTGTCGAGAGTGGGATGGATTTGGAAAATGGGCAGTTTTACGTAGCGGTTGGCAGAGACAAATTTAAGAAGTTGCCCTATAGTGAATTGCTGTTCACCAAGTCCACCATGAGGAGATCGTATGGGTAAGTTTAATGGGGTTTTGTGCTAGCCATATTTATGAACATGAATTACGATAATACAGTGTCATGAATCCAGGTGCGTAGTGCAGCTAAGCCCATTTTTTGACGTGGATGGGATTTTTGTAACTTTTGGGTTCTATAGGTGAGAAGTTACACAGTGCAGCTGTAATTGCTGCTGATATCTATCTCTTTTTTTGCCTAGTTCACATGTTTTGCTTGTTTATATGAGCATCTAAGTTATGATTACTTGCACAGACAAAAACACATAGTGAATTAGACCCAAAGCAACAGGTTAGGAGGATAAAGAAGGGTTTTGCTTCATTTGACAGAGCGAAGATACCCTAAAGCTACCTTAATTCACTCTAACCTTCTTCACACAGTGATAGATCAGAGCTCCTGTTTGAATAAACTGGTAAAGTCAACGGTTCTCACTTGAGGAGTTTTCCATTCCTAGTTTTTCATAGCCTCTTGAGCAAATTTATTTTGGCCCAGTTGCAAAAGTTACTGTCCTTCACAAGTGTTTTATGAGACCACACATAAAAGGGCAATGTATGTAACTGCATGTAACTGCTTCCTCTGCAGTTGGTCTTTGAGATGACGACTATGGCTTGTGAATATCTGAAATGGTTTCTAGCTTTTCAGTAATTTCTTATATTATATAGGGTCCTTCCTATGTATGACAATTGCAAAATATACCACAAAATCATTTGCTTCTAAATACCTTGGGTTGTTGAAGGGAAGTTTTCTTTCTGCAGTTGACCTGTTTTTGATATTCATCATGATTCATTTGCAGAAAGTTTGTGCGGTGGTTAGATGGTGTCCTCTGTTTATTTAGCATCCATTCTGATTTGTTTGGGTGGACGTTATCCAGCATTACTTCAGTCAATTTGTTACCCACACTTTGCAGTGCATTTGCCTCTCACTTTCCTTACTGCAGAAAGTCCATTTTGGAAGAAGTGGGTTTGTTAAGCAAGAGCACCAAACTGACTTTGATTGTGCAACCTGGATTTGCCAGCACATGATTGAATCACACTTGGAAATAGTGACCGTCTAGAAGCATCCTTATAAAGATATTATGTTTGTTGGCAATAGATAGGCTGTTTCAGCATAATAATTAATGATGTTGAGAACATTCCAAGTGTTTTAAACCTGAAATACCATTATTGTTTCCTGCAGCTCAAAATCATCTTCACTACCTCCTATTGGTGGATCTGGAAAGTCTAAGGGGAGTGTAAGTATTCAGAAGTAATATATGTTTCATGGTTAAGCAGCTTGTTTAACTCTATCAGATAAGATGTCATTTTCTGTTGTGGGTCTACACAAGCATTCTTTGGATACAAAAGAAAAGTACAAAGAGAAGAAGTTTAAGAGACTTGAGCTTCTTATTTCCTTTGCATGTTTGTAACCTGCAAAATTGTATGAAATAATGCCTCTGTCATCAAATATATTACTTTCCAACCTTAAATCCAAAGCATGCTCTTGGTAAGATTCCAGTTTGGGAATATTGATAATAAAACTGATTTTGTATGTGTGCACTTGAAAAGGATGCTTGCAGTGCAATCCTGTTAATGTCTTGTTAAAAGTAAGCCCCATTGAAATTGATGGGGGCTTATTTTCAGGTCCATAGGTAAAGGTAAAGGGACCCCTGACCATTAGGTCCAGTCATGACCGACTCTGGGGTTGCGGCGCTCATCTCGCTTTATTGGCTGAGGGAGCCGGCGTACAACTTCCGGGTCATGTGGCCAGCATGACTAAGCCGCTTCTGGCGAACCAGAGCAGTGCACGGAAACGCCGTTTACCTTCCCGCCGGAGCAGTACCTATTTATCTACTTGCACTTTGACGTGCTTTCGAACCTCTAGGTTGGCAGGAGCAGGGACTGAGCAATGGGAGCTCACCCCATCACAGGGATTCGAACCACCGACCTTCTGATTGGCAAGTCCAAGGCTCAGTGGTTTAACCCACAGCGCCAGGTCCATAGGTGTGTATATATCAGGCATGTCCAACTTTCAAGAGACTGTGATCTATTCCCACTATAAAAAACGGACATTGATCTACCAAAGTTGTTGAGGATGTTGAGCTTTTTTTTGGGGGGGGGGGACCACAGACCAGTAGATCGTGATCAACCTGTTGGACATTCCTGGTATATATGATTGCAGCCTATGTAAAGTACTGTTTTAAGTTTTCACAAATTAAATAGTCTCGTTTCCTTTTTGTGATGGAACCACCAGTCCAAATCTACTGACACAGCAGAAACAGTGTCCTCTCCTCAACCTCCAAAGAGAAAGGAGAAGCACGTACAGAATCAAGATATTAAAAAACCTGCTAAATCAAAAGAAAACGTAAAAGCCGTGACCAGATCTCATGTTCCCCCAGATAATGGTAAGTACCTGAAGACACTATTTTAAGAAGTAACAAGAACAGTGGCTAAATCTTAAAGTTTGGCTGCCTTTACTATTTGTGACTCTTGTGCTTTTTTATCATGAGCAAGTATGAATTTTGCTAAAGATTACTGTTTCCAGACATGGCACTCTTAACTTAAAGATATATCTAAATGTTCCCCTCCCCCCGACTATCAGGAAAGCCTGTCCATGAAATACACCCTGTTGGGAAAGGACAGGGTTGCTTTGCATTTTAAATCCCTTCCGTTGATTAGGCTGTTCATCTCTTTTGCTTCCTGCACATGCCCCAGGTAAATGAAGGAGGAAGTGGTGATTGCAGTCCTGGTATATGCACACCGCAATGTCATTGCGCAGGTGTGGGTACCACCTCCATTCCTGGGGCTGCCTACATCCATTTTCAAATGGACATACAACAGGGTAATGCAGAAAGAATCTTTTTTTTTTTTTAATGATATTTATTGAGATTTCAAAAACAAAAAATTACATAAAAGATAATGAAAAATATAGAAAAAAAAAGAAAAAACATACAAAATGCAAAGTATAGAAAAAATATATAGAAAAAACACTTAGAAACAAATTTATCCTTCCGTATCTTACATTTCATTTCCTTGCTTTCCTGACCTCCTCTCACCTCCCTTTTTTGTATTCCGGTTCAATTGGTTAATTCAGCAATTCCTTTCCCTCTTTGTTTTTGTCTTAGTCCTTTAACTTAATATATTATAGCTTTAAATTCTCACCCTAGTCTCGGATTCTACCGGTCATTTCCGCCAGTTCCATGTAGTCCATCACCTTCATTTGCCATTTTTCCCAGGTGGGTAGATCTTGTGTCTTCCAATACTTCACGATGAGTATTCTTGCTGCTGTTGTGGCATACATAAAAAAAGTTCTATCCTTTTTTGGCACCAATTGGCCGACCATGCCCAGGAGAAAGGCCTCTGGTTTCTTCAGAAAGGTATATTTAAATACCTTTTTCATTTCATTATAAATCATCTCCCAGAAAGCCTTAATCCTTGGGCACGTCCACCAAAGGTGAATGAATGTACCTTCAGTTTCTTTACATTTCCAACATTTATTGTCGGGCAAATGATAGATTTTTACAAGCTTGACTGGTGTCATGTACCACCTGTATATCATTTTCATAATATTCTCTCTTAAGGCATTACATGCCGTTAACTTCATTAATAGGCAATTAATAGGCATTTGTATATATTCTTGAGCCATGAGTGTTTCTGCTACTTCTGAACACTCCATGTTAACACAGGTCCTGCAGTCCTGAACACCAGGGATGAGGAACATGTGGTCATCTAGATGTTGTTGGACTCCAACTCCCATCAGCCCCAGCTAGCATGGCCATTGCCTCAGGGATTATGGGAATTGTAGTCCAGCAACACCTGGAGGGCCACAGGTTCCCCATCCCTGCTGTGCACATAAAGAATTCCTATGGCCCAGTTCACACATCACAGTAAACCACAATTAATGGTTTACTAAGAAACAAACCACAGTTGCTTCTGAACCAGGGATATTGTTTTGTTTTGGTTCAAGCAAACTGCGGTCAGTAAGGTAAGGATTGTTCTTGTCTTACAGATGGTGTTTTCTTTTGTGTGAAACAAATCTCAATCCCTGGTTTAGATGTACAGTGGTACCTCGGGTTACATACGCTTCAGGTTACATATGCTTCAGGTTACAGACTCCGCTAACCCAGAAATAGTACCTCAGGTTACGAACTTTGCTTCAGGATGAGAACAGAAATCGTGCTCTGGCAGCACAGCGGCAGTGGGAGGCCCCATTAGCTAAAGTGGTGCTTCAGGTTAAGAACAGTTTCAGGTTAAGAATCCGGAACGAATTAAGTACGTAACCAGAGGTACCACTGCAATACTAAAACAGAGGTCATGGTTTGTTTTTGCCACACATTACTAGGGAGGAGCAATGTGGGAGATTGGCAAATTCATGGTAGGAATAAATTTTTTCCCCCAGAAGTTAATCCCCTGGCTTTACACTGCATCTAAGCCTCCAAGGCAGCTCACATGAAACAATAAAATAATCTACTACAATAATGACCCCCAACCCCCTGAGCTAAAAAGCAAAAGCAAATTCAACAGCCAACAACAACAGAGATAAAGAACATGCAAGTTAAACTCTAATTAAATGCCAGCAACAACTAGAGTGAACATAAATTAATTGGTGCTTCAAAATTAATCATGTAGGCACCTGATGAATTTAGCTGGGAAGTGTTAAGTATAATGTTGTGGAGAAGTTTTAAATTAACTGAATCTTGCATTCCTTTGAACCGTTTTTCTGAAGTTGAAATATGTGCGCTGGTTTACCACTGAGCCTTTTTAATTAAAACTTCTTTTTAATATGTAACTTGTCCCTTGTCCTGCTATCCAGAATGGAGACAAGGGACAAAATACTGGAGTAGGCTTGACCATGAGTTTTGAAGATATGCAAAAGTGATTAACAGTCAACCTTAGCTATCCACTAAATTCCTAACCTTCCTGTGAGACCTCAATTTCCAGGAAGGAAAGGTGTCAATTGCTGCCTTACTCCTTAAAATCATCTGCCTTAACCCTGACCCAGAGTCCAATGTGGAGCCAGTGCTACAGTTTCAATTTTCCTTGGCTGTGCCAAAGGTATTCCATCACCTCTGCAAGAGATGCCTCAATGTGATCACTAAATCAAACTTTGTCCTCTAATCCAGGCCCTTACTGATTTGTTCACAAGAACAGTCCAGGATTGTGGGCCCATTGTTGTTCAACCCTATCAGCAGGTAGAACGAGCCTCCAAATTTCCTTTGTAGACTTCCAGGGAAAATATTATACCCCTCTTCCAGGAGTTTGAAACCTGGGGTCTTCTTCATGTAAGGAATTTGCCCTGTCACTGAGCTATGACTGTTACTCAAGCATTGCAGAACAAATGACTACACCAGCCAAATGATCATGCAACTTAAACTGAACCAGAATGCCAAAATTAACCAAATAACAACCCTCATATGTTTTACTGCTGAGGCCAAGGGCAAGATGTCCTCCCACATTTCACATGCAGAAGTCAACTAGACTGTTAGTTAATTCTTTCCCTAACACTGTTTGGATGTGTGTCTGATTTCTCTAGGTACCAGCGCAGTTGTAGAGTGACACATACCTGGTAAAATGTACTCCTGGCCATTGCTATGGCCAGGTCATCCAGGGACAATGCCTGCTCCAGGAGCACTACCACACGTGTATTTTGTTTTTCACCAGCAGTGCAACCCCACTGAGGACCAGAGCACTGTAGTCATGCCTGGATTTAAGTTTCAGTTTGTTCACCAAGCCATGACTGATTCTAAACATTGATTCAGGACATGAGTGCTTGTACTTCCCTAAGATCAGAAGATAGAAACAAGAGGTAGATCTGAGTGTCATAAGCAAACTAATGACACATCAGCATCCCAAGCCTCTAGATAATTTCTCATAGTGTTTACATATAGATCTGCTTATCTATATGCCTGCCAATCAAGGGCAGTACTCATCTTAAGGCTTACGCAGATTCATATGGGTAGATAACCTAAGATTGGTCTTTGTGGAACCCTGTTCCCCAGTAGCCGCTAGTGGAACAGCAGTTTCGCAGCACCATCTTCTGGGAGGTATCCTCTGGAAAGATTGAGAGCCACTGAAAAACAGTTCTCTTTCATACTTCTCTGCAAATGTGGAGACGATTTATCAAATGTTATCTAACATCCTATGCCTTATTGTGACTTTTCTGCCAAATGGCCCATCTGTGGTTCTGTAATAATCAGTTCTCTGTTTCTAAAATGTTATTGTGACTTTCTATAGAGAAGAAAACCCCACTGTTGTATTTCTCGTATGATAGAGTCCTTTCTTGTATTTCAAAGAGTCTTACTGTTTTAGGCAGGGCAGGTTAATCCCTGCATCCAGTTTTTAAATATTGTGTGCTAGTTGTATCTTTTGTTTTTTTAAAGGAAAAATTAAATAACTTTAATTGGAGAGGTTATGCAGCAAGTGATAAAATGTCCCTTTTATTTTTCTGAGAAGGATGTGTAACAATTTGTGACTAGCTTGGGGCTGAAACTATTCCCCTCCCCCACAAGTTCTTTGAAATGAGGGTTTTACTACCTGCAAGGTAATAGTTACCTGGAATATCAGTTTGGCTTGGTTTGCTATACAAATTGAGGTTTTAATGTCTCTATGTATTCTTCATGCTGAGAAGTTGATAGGTACCGTATTCTTCTGAAAGACGAATGGTAATGCATTAGTATTTAGAGGAATTTTGGCAGTAATTTTCAAGAGTTGACATCTATCTATGTGGAGCATGCATGCATTAATGAGAAATACTTGCAAATGGATATTCTCATTAGGTGTGACAAGAAAGAGCAAAAATTGCCTCCACCCATTTGGTCCTGGCTTGCGATATATATTACAGCCTCTGAATGGAGGTTTGGGAAGCCTTTAAACAGAACGACCTGCTTTTTCTAGAAGGCGGTAGCAAAAGAATGGGCAAGTCATTATGTGAAATACATAAAGTTTCATAATGTTATGGAACACATTATGAAAACCGCATTCTGGTACCACCTCTGTATGTTACAGTTTTGGAGTCTTTGACCCTTACTGGAACCATTTTCTCATGTTATGAAGACCTTTTCCATTATCTCACCGGTCTTTGGTTTCCATTATCTTACTGTTGTCGTCAACAATTTTGGCTGTGCTGTTCCATCTCTCTGAAACAGAGAATGGAGTTCTGCTTCATAAGATGTATTCTTTGCAACCTAATAGTTTGGGATCATTACCATTGCTACAAGCAGAATGACGATAGGGTAACAGCACAGTCAAACAGCCATACCTTTGGGCCCTCTGGTTTATGGTGCATAGTAATTTATTTTCCAGGAAAACATTATCACAAGGCGATGTTTCCCAGCTATTCTTATACAAGTGAACTCCACATATAAACATGACATATTGAATCACTGAAAATTAACACTCTGCCATGGTTGTTGGTGTGCATATTAAAGAATTAATAATACCTGTGGTACAGTTCTGGCTTGCCTCTAGCCTGTCCCTTTAGGATTACTCAATTTCTCTAATCCTTCATAACATATAAGCAGAGAGGCCCTGTCTCATTTACGCCAGGCTTGCCTATGCCAACTCAGCTATGCCATGTCTCTTTATACCAGCTCAAGTTCCAATTACCAGTTCGGCAATAATTCACACTTTTATATAATAACAGCAACATAACTTGCTGTCTCTGCTCTTGGCTGTTAAAACTCATTAAACTCCATGGAACTTATTTCTGAGTAAATGTACATAGGGCTTGATTGTTACTGATTTGGTGTGTGAGTGCCATGCCTATGGCAGAATGGAATGAGCTCATTGTTATCAGGAAATGGATTTTGAAAATGGTTCTGCTTCCTTGTCATCAGTTTTTATTTCATTTCTGTTATGTTGCCCCTTAAAATATGTCTCCTCCTCCTGTTTTCTGTGAGGGAACATAGCAGAGGCCTCTGTTTTGTACACAAAAATGTTCCCTTCCCATGAGAGATTTATAATTCTCTTGAGACATTTTAAAATGGATTCCTGCAACAATGCCAGTTTTTTGGTGTTTTGTTTGGGTGAAGATTAGAAAACAATCCTGTATCCTCTTCACCCCTTTTGGGTATTTGTTGGATGTAATGAACAATGCGTTTATTATGGGTTTGTTTTGCCTTTTTGCTTTATGAGGCAGCATCTGGTAAATGACATTAAATATTTTTTTGTAGTTACATTAACTTAGATACAGAGCTTACAGCTCTGTAAATGCCCCTGATTTCCATAAAATATTCAGGGCAGACAGTTATTACCATGATTATTTTCTCCCTAATGCTGAACTTCAATCAGTTTCAAATTTGAAATGTATTAAATGGCTATGCATAATACTATCATTTGTGCTGCAATATATATTTTTTTATTGTTAGGTCTGCCTAGGAGGGGAACGTATGCAGGAAACATTAATTTTCTGTGTTTTATTATTTAAAGTATATTGATTTCTTATTAGTTGTTGGAATTTATAACTCATTTTCTATTTAATATAGTCATGTAATTTTCTTGTTTATCAACGTGTATCAGTGAGGTTCTGTCAGTTGGAATGGAGATACTGAGCTGGATAAAGCAGAGAAATGTCTTTCAGTAGTTTCAGGAGTCCAGATTCCTCCCCCCCCCCCAAGATATTAGCATAGAAGCCGTGCTACACTCCAGCTTCCAAATGGTTCTTTCCATGTTCCCATGCTTTCTACACTCACAGGACTCTAGCAGAAAGGTGCTAGACAGTCCCGTTTGCTGAATTCCACATCTGCTGCTTCCACATCTGCAGTCAAGTTCCAACCTTTCTCCTCTTCTATGCATTGACTGTCCCTTGTCTAGGCTACTGCCTTGTGTTTTGTAGCAGGTGATTAATACAGCCATCTGATTTCCCCCCCACAGGATAGAGTGAGGCAGTATATAAAGTTATGCTTCTATTTGCATGTTGTCTTCCCCTGCATGTTTAAAACTTTACATTCAGGAATATTTAATTCAAAAGGCAGAAATGCATGGCAAGCCAATTTAAAATACCAGTTGAAAAAATGCGGAAAGTTGCATGAACTGCTAGTGCTGTATGTCTCTCTGAGAAAGGAGTTGCAGATTGTGTGCAGCCACTGAGAAGGCCCTCTCATGTTTTTCCACTGTGTTCAAAAGCCAGAAACAAAAAGGATCAGTGTTTCTATTTGCGAATACATCTCCTTTCTAAACTTGGGTTAGCCAAGTTTGGGTTGGTGATACATTTATTGCTTTCTTCTTTCCCACCATGCTATGTAATATTTGTCTTCTTAGCCTGAAGACTTCCTTCATATATATTATAGTTATCCCATTTCTGTGATTTAATAATTATTTGAATCTATAAAAATATGTAATAATAACATACAATTTCTTTTCACTTGAAATGAATGAAATTGATTTTTGAGTAGTTCTTGGCAGATTTTCCTTATAACTGTCTTAAACCACGGCGGACGTAGCAAAGTACCAGTTGTTATCCGTGGTGAAAGAAACCTAATGGGTAAAGCTTTGTTGACAAAAAACAACTTGAGGGTTTTGTTAACATCTATTTTGTGAAACGTGTGTGCTATGTTTTCCTTTATAAGCGTGTTTGATATTTAGTTGCTTTAAAGCTCAGAATTGAGCTAGTGCAACTTTTGACAAAGTATTATCCTGAAGCCCAGATTCAACTAACCCAGGATGCTAGTGGAAAGCTCGTGGAAAACTCGTGTAAAGGCTCCCACTAGCACAACAGGGCTTTCTCTCCTCCTCTTCTGTGTGCCCCTGTGGCACCCCCAAATCTTCTCCGGAGGTTCAGGAGAACTCTCAGAACAGTGCATGGGGGGAGGGGGAGAGTGGGGAATTGTTCCATCCGGCAAGCAATAATGCTTGTGCTGATGGAACAATTAGGAGAGCACAACACTGAATTCCTTCCAGTGGTTATTTTCATTCTCTTTCCATGTAAGAATGCTGGTGCTCTTATAAAAGCCAAAGCAAAACCGATGGGTGCATGTCTTCAATCTGTAAGTGTAAACACCTGTGAAGAATGAGAAACCTTTTCCAGGCTGTCCTTGGGTGCAGTTCGCTAACTTTGCCACACAGTGTCACAGTTGGACTCTGCTTCTTTCCAATTTCAGAGGAGGAAGGAGTTTACAAGGCTGGCAAAAAGCGATCGGAAATGAGGGGGGCTGTGGAAGTCCAGGAAGATGAAGACACTCAAACTGAGGTCCCACTTGACCAGGTAAGCTGCAAGCTTTGAACAAGGGACTCATAATGAAAATAAGTTTGCAGTAAAGTTGTGGCTCATTTCTCTTGTGGTTTTCCACTGCTGTCATAATCATCCTTTTTCTGCTATTGGTAAACTGTTTCATTGGCCAATGTACTAAGACTGCCATCAGTGAAGGAACACAGACCTTTGAATATGGCTGGCATTGGAATACCTAAGTTCCGTTTTCTGGTTTCTGTAACCTTTTTAGAACCTTATTCAATAATGGTCATTGAATATTGCAGCAATGTACTATTAAAGCAAAAGCTTAGCTATTGAGTACTAGAACTTTCATACTGGCTACATGGATGGGTATAAATTAAACTGCACAAAGTGCAAACCAGCATTAGATTTATGCAAAATGTTCCTGTTTTGCATTTGAACTGTTCTGAATACAAATAGTATTATGGCACTCAAGTTTCAAATAAACCACCCTCTATCAAAATATCAAATTTTGTAAGGAATTGAACTATGTGCATGAAGTCAATAGAATGAATAACAGGATAAATGCTGTCACGTTCAGGATGGGTATCTTTCAATCTTCGTAATGGAGAATGATGTAATCCTCGGCCAAATTACAAGCATGAAGCAATATAATGATGAAAATCATAGGAGCCTGAAACTATGATTAGTTAAATCCCATAGTCATTTGATTAGGGCAGCAACACCATTTGTGGAATAGGTCTCTAGAGTGCGTGGAATGTAATAAAAAGAGCTATTATTGTTGGCCTCTTTATGATTGCTTTACTGATGTTGCATTGGACCAGTGAGGACAGCATGGGAATCTTGGAGATGTTAATAGGTTTGGAGCTTTTGAATTTCATGGCAGCTTTTCATTATGGTTTATCAATGTGTTTCAAACCTGGTGTTTGTGTGTTGGTTTGTTTGTGTGTGTATACATGCAGCTACTGTGAATCTGTATCATCTTTGTTAGGCTAGAAAAAGTGGTGGTGGTGTCAATGGTAGCAGTAAATCAGAGGGAAATTGGTGTGGTGGCAGCAACAGGGCCAGAGGAAACATAGACTTGTAGAACTGGAAGGGGCATCTAGTCCATCTCCCTGCAGTACAGGAATCTCAACTAGATCATACATGACAGTTGGCCATTCAACCTCTACTTAAAGCCTCCAAGGACACCAGGCTAGTCTTCCTTCTAGACGAAAAACAGATGTCCACATTGATTCAAGTTTTGAAACTGGCATCTGAGAAATACCCCTTGATGGAAGTGCTTTTGTTTTTAGTCACAGTATCACGAGTGAACCCTATCCTCTGGATCCTTGTGCAGATGTAAAGCATTCATGTTTAATGTATTTTAATGGCTTTCTTACCCATGTTTGGCAGGTCTCTGGTTCAAAATCCTAATTGAGTTTCGCAATCATGAAAGAAATGTTTGTTCTCAAGTGACACCAGATAAGAAAGGCACTTGTTGTTCAAGCATATAAAGTACTTTCTGATGGAAAGTACTCAAGCATATAAAGTACTTTCTGATGCTAGGAAGTCCTCCATAGTAACTACAGTGGTACCCTGGTTTTCGAATGTAATCCATTCTGTAAGACCGTTCGAGTTCTGAAATGTTCGAAAACCGAAAACTCAATACGGAAAATTCAATATGGAAGCTGCGTGGCATGCTCGATTTCCGAGGCATGTTCGAAAACCGAAGCATTGTCAACGGAGATGTTCAAAAACCAAGGCACCACTGTAAATGGTATAAAGTAAAGTAACCAATAGACTTGTTTTCTGTTCATTTATAACACTGTCTAGATGAAAGGTGGGCTGGATGCTGCCCAGGGATGAGTGGGACTGACGGTACCCCAATAATGCTGGTCTTGGCTGGCCTGATTCAGAGTGGGCCCACTTAAGGAGAGGTACAAAATTGCAGAACAAAAGAGCTGGCCCTACTGCTAACTGGTAGTTCCTTGCAGAGGATTGAAGGGATGCAGGGGGCACATGGGAAGGTAGGAGAGCGAGGGGAAGTTCTCTTGCATTAGTGGAATTTGTTCTGCTTTGCCGCAACGTCTTTGGACTCAGCCCATTGAGACCTTTGAAATCTGACTTGTATCTTAAAGATTCATGCTTATGTTGGCACTCAGATATTAAAAAGGTAAAGGGACCCCTGACCATTAGGTCCAGTCGTGGCCAACTGGGGTTGCGGCGCTCATCTCACTTTATTGGCTGAGGGAGCCGGCGTACAGCTTCCGGGTCATGTGGCCAGCATGACTAAGCCGCTTCTGGCGAACCAGAGCAGCGCACGGAAACGCCGTTTAGCTTCCTGCCGGAGCAGTACCTATTAATCTACTTGCACTTTGACATGCTTTCGAACTGCTAGGTTGGCAAGAGCAGGGACCGAGCAATGGGAGCTCACCCCATCGTGGGGATTCGAACCGCTGACCTTCTGATCGGCAAGTCCTAGGCTCTGTGGTTTAACTCACAGTGCCACCCGTGTCCTGCACTCAGATATTACCACATTTCAAAATAATTCATTTATTAAAATTGCCAGCCGCCTTATGTTGCCCAGGGTAACCCAAAGTGACTTACAACCATAATATTTAGCTCCTGAAATCAAAATTTCAAATTTACAGTTGGGCAAAGTTAAAATGTACACAATTAGAAATGCACATGTCTCTTTGCAGTGAAAACCAATCAGACTGAATCCAGCCCAGAAGCAACAATTTCTTTCCCTTTTTCAAATGTTTAAATTTTGTAAACAGGTGCTCCATTGTCACTTAGCAACCCTAGCTGGTTAGGGAACAAAATGTTTTGAGTTTTGCTTTGCTTTGTAAAGCATTTGGGATATATAACAAATCATTGTTCACTGGGAAATGGCAACGGTATTTAAGCATTGCTCATTTCTTCAAGCCTAAGTGCTCTCTGAAGTTGTGTTTACGCCTTGCTCTGTGTGCCTGTTAGGATCTTGTTTTTTCTCTTTTGTCTGAACGGCAATAGGTAATATCCATAGTCAATGCCTAGCTACTTTTGAAAAGATGCTTTTAAAAAGTGCTTTTTATTCAAACAGTGCTTCCCATGTTTTGCAGTGGAGTTACTTTCAGACTGTGATTTTACCTGCATTCTGTTATAGATGGGCTCATCTGAGCTGATTTTCGGAATCTGAAAAATTGGGCTGATTGAGAATAGAGGTAAAAATCCAGAAAACAGCACAAATACAAAAACAGGCTGGCTGCTTGGTTGAATTACTGGGTGGTTATAAAAGAGGTTCAGCTAGGTCCCGTGTGTTTTGTCAAGGCCTGATTGTGCTGTCTGAAATTATTAAATTGGAATAATCTTGGTCAGGATATAAGGAACTACTTAATATCCAAGGGATTGCTTGCTCAGCTGGATATTTGGCCTTCTTGCTTTTTATGGCATTATCCATGCTGTTATCATATGATGCTTTTTAGCCTCTCTTTAATTTCAAAGGAGCTTCCCATGTGGTTTGTGGAACAGATTTGTTGTTTCAGGGTATAAGAAGATAGATACCTTCTGGATTGGACCAAAGATCAACCTAATCCAGCATTTTGGACCCAACAGTTAGTTGCATCTGGGAAGCTCACAAGACTCCCCTGTAGTTTGTCACCAGTATCTGGTTTTCAGAGGCCTACCTCCCTTATACCAGAATGAGATTGTTGAAACAGCATTGTGCTGTAATTGTAGAGATGCTTGTGCTGTATCACAGTTCAGAGCACAGTTCTTCTCTTTAACGTAGCTTTACCCTGGCTTGTCTGTGAACCTCATATGTGTTCTTTATATATTAATCAAAAGAGCTGAGCATAACACAATTTGGGTTTTTGGGTTTACTAGCGGCCAGCGGAAACTGTGGATGAGGAAGAAACCATGGCACCGGAACATCAAGCTCGGCATCAAGAAGACTATTCAGCTATGAATGGGGAGGCGGATCAGGGTGGAGACACAGGGGAGGCCATCAATGGAACAGAAGAGAATCTGAATGGCCATTATGATGATGAGCAGCAAGGGCAGAACCTTGACCAAGATGAGCCTAGCAGTCATGCGCATGGGGGAACAAATGAGGAAAACGGTGAACAGATGGATCACAATCGTCATGAAGAAGAAACAAAAGAAGGTACTGATGATCAAAAACAGGTAACATGTCTTTGCTCTTTCGATGTGCTACTGCTTCCATTTTTCTGCTCTAACAATAGGTTTGTTTGCAGCCAGCATACTCCACAGCTGGATTTTCAGCTTTGGGGCAGCTCTTCTTGCCTTTTTGCAACCTTTTATATGAGGACGGTATATAATCTCATGCTGGGTGATCCCAGTGGTAAAGCGTTCACATGTTGCATCGACGCTAGCATTGTGATAATGTTGCAGCCCTTACGTTTGCCGGTCACCAGTCTTCTGTGCACTCTGACCTCGTTTTCAGAGGTTACTTGGAAAACTGACTGCCGTGTTTTTGCAGTATCATAGCTGATGTGCCAAGCCAAGTTCATGATCACTTTAATGGTGTGAGCCAGTGAATTGCGTATCTGGAAACCACATACTTTGTCTACACTCGAAAACCTGGTTTCAAGCGCCACAAGCTGCCACCATGAAATTTCCCAGAATTGGAGAGTAACTTGTGCTCTTTAAAAATTGTACCTAAAACAAGAAAAAACTCAAGCCACTTCCATTGCTTAAATAAAAAGTTAGGCTGGGATGAATTAGCTTGTATAATCACGCTGCTATTTTTTTGTTACCCAGTTGTCTTCTTCACTTTTTTTCTTGCACATTAAAGAAGCTAACTAGGATGCTGGCTTATTCACTTGTCATCATTTAATGGTTTCTAAAACTACTCGTTTCATACATAGCATGAAGAATTCAGTTGTTTTTATTCAAGCACATTATAGGCTAGTTGCCTTATTGCTCAACTGAATACCTTGTGGCCCATCAAGCCAAACATAGTAGTTCACCAGCCGGCCCTTTTGTGGTGGCCTCCAAGGGGTTTGATAAACCTTCAGAGCTTTTCTGCCTTCTGGAACAGCAAAAGAAGGAGAGTTTCCAACCATCTCACATGGCTATGGATCTGCACTTGGCTTGATGGGTGCTGGTTATGCAGGCTCTGCTTGATCACATCAACACATACAAAAGAAAAATCTCTGCCATATGACAAGTTAAAATATGCCCCCCCTTTCTCTCTGTCTAGGATGATTCCAATTATGAGAAAACCTCAGCTCCAAGAGTTACCATCACCAGCCCACAGGAGAGTGAAAAAAACGAACAAACCAATGACTATGCGGCAGTAGCATAGACATATTTTGAAGGACATAGGTTATCAGAAAATGAAGGATTTACTATTTGGAGTGCAAAGCAATTTTGTGTGTGTGTGTGTGCTTTATTAATTTATAATGTGACAATATGGTGGAGTTCCACCCACTGAACACTGGCATGATAATGTGGTATACCAGAACTTAGATAATTAAATCAATAATTAAGAGGAAGATTGAATTATAGTCCCCAGATTTGGTCTTTCTCCAATGTGAATTCTAAGGGGAAACATAGGTGTTAATTGAATAAATACTGCCATTGCAGAATGTTGAATATTGAACTAGGCCTAATGTGTACCCATGTTTGTTTAGAAGAGTTGAAGAATATTTTTGCGCCTTTAAAATGGAGAGTCTGTAATATTTTTTTATAGCTGAATAAATCTCTTATGTACATGAGCTGTGGTGTATTTCCAGGATCTAATTTAGGGGTATAAGATGGAGTCTCACTTTGTGATATGGAGAGTGGGGGGGCGGTGCAGTGGGAATCACAACAGGATGGAAATTTATTTCTGCTATGCAGATGGGCTCTTGTGTGTATGGGCAGTTACACTCATTTCAAAGGTATGTATGTGCAGATGTCCTCTCTTCCATTGAAAGCTACTGCAGGCAAGTGAATACCTTGTGCTGATCAAGAGTTTCCATGTCAGGAACTGATAGCTGGATGGGGTGACAGAATGTGACCCAAGATGAAGGACTTATTTTAATAGTTTCAATAATAACAAATAGTTACCTTGCACTACTTTAGCATGAGTTAACAGCCCTACCCAATGTGCATTGATATGGCCGAAAACCCTATTGATTTCACTTATTTCTAAGTAAATGTGCTTAATTATCCCACCCAAAATGTGTCTGGCATAATTCTGTTGCTATGTGCAGGCCAGATTCACTTCGGTCAAAGATCTCTCCAGCAAGCTAGCTATGAGGGATAAACGGATCAATCAGGCAAAATTTCTATAAAGAATTTATCTTTAATTCTAAAAGTGCATTGCTTTAAACATTTAACCAATCACAATGTTATGGTTTAATAACACTTATAGGAGAAAATAAAATTACTTAAAAATTAATCGCCATCTTGAAAATTGTGTTCTCATCTCATTGGCTTAAGTTTGCAGGTCATGAGAAAACAGGCATGTTCCGGTATTGGGTTAGATATCTTAATGGTAAATAGACATAGCTCAACTGATGTTTCATAAGTTAGGTTGGTGGTTTCTTGCAAAACATTTAGCCTATAAATCCATGTGCAGTTCATTTACCGGTAAGTTTTGCCACATCCCTTGATGTAGCTCTCTTGCTCCTTTTTGTAATAGGCTGAATCTTTAGTTTGGTTAGTAGCTGTTGATAAATAGTACAATTAATTTTAAAAACCTTAAACATTGTTTGGTGTCAGGGAACTGCCATCGGCTCAGGGGGGAGACGGGAAAAGCTGGATGGATTACAGAGAGCCCCCAAAGATTGTGGGAAGCAGCTCCTCCTCAGCGGAGGAGAGTAACCACGCCTCCAGTGGAGAGGAGCTTCAGGGCTCGGAGGAGGCGAGACGGTGCCAGGACACCTTGCTTGAGCAAAGCGGGCAGGAGAGAGGTCCTCCATTACCCACGCCTTCCTTGCGCAGTAGGCTTCCGCGCCGAGAGGGGAGGCGCAGACTGGGCGTTAAGAAACTACTTTGCTGGGGAAGGTTTAAGGACCGCCCACTCACGGATTCTGCCAGTGAATGAGCCAGTCACGGGAGAGTGGCGCTCTGGACAGATAAAGTTTATTTTGGCATCAAAAGCAAGGCTTCAGAGCCGAGCAGGGAGGCATTTGTCTGGTTGCTCTCGAGCAACCCCTTGGAACCCTAACATTTGGCTTGGCGATACCAATTTCTTTGTAATTATATATTTTATCCTGAATATATTTTAACACATTAAACAAATGTTAGTGTATTTTAGGGTTTGTTCTTTGAATATATTAAAGCTAGTAAATTGCTATTAAAATTACCTAGTTTCATTACATGAAGATTCCTGCTGTTGCAGTTTGTAAGTAGCATACAGGGAAGTGACAACATCCCAAGAATATATATATATATATATATATATCACAGTATCAGCAGAATAAACAGATCACTTGTGACACCATTCCTCCCTTCATCAGTGGTAAAATAAGTCTGACTACAACCACAGATTTTTGAGCTTTTGTAAAGAAATAATCTGATTAAATTCTCATTGATTCTTTGCCTCAAGTGAGCTTTTATGGCCTTTGGACAAGTCAGGGTGTGGTGCTCTTTTAGCAATAGGGGTACCTTCATACATGCATGTTCATCATCTGATGGCTACAACGTAGTGACTTGCATATGTGAAAACAGCCATGACACACTAGACTTCAGAGACAGATCTGTAATACAACCTAACCAGTTAATGCACTACATTTTCAACAGAGGTTGATCCATGAATTTACTTGTGTAATAATGAGACATTGAGTGATAAGACGCAGAATGATTATGTAGGTTTGAGTGGAGCCCTAGTCTGCTATGGTCAAGCTGTGTTCTTAATTATATTCTAAAAGCCAACTTGACTTCAGTAATATTTAAGTGTAAATATGAATTGTTGTTGAGGCAGTTCGACCCACCAGGGATATTTATATCTTAAAAGGACAATCCTTCTTTAAAAGTACCTATTTATTTATTTGCTGATAACGTTCAAAACTGCAAGACTAGTTGACTGCTATATCAACGCTATAATAGTATCATAGCTTTGGTCTGCCCTATTGTAAAATCTGGTGAGTTAGCGAGACACAAATTTGCTTATTAAAAAACATTTGTCCTGCAATCTAAAGGTAAAGGTAAAGGGACTCCTGACAGTTAAGTGCAGTTGCGAACGACTCTGGGATTGCGGTGCTCATCTCGCTTTACAGGCTGAGGGAGCCGGTGTTTGTCCACTTCTGTAGACAGTTTTTCCGGGTCATGTGGCCAGCATGACTAAGCCTCTTCTGGCAAAGCCAGAGCAGCGCATGGAAATGCTGTTTACCTTCCTGCTGGAGTGGTACCTATTTATCTACTTGCACTTTTTGGCCTGCTTTCGAACTGCTATGTTGGCAGGAGCTGGGACCAAGCAACGGGAGCTCACCCCATTGCGGGGATTCAAACCGCTGACCTTCCAATTGGCAAGTCCAAGCAGAACAGTGGTTTAAACCACAGCGCCACCCACATCCCCTGTCCTGCAATTTACAAATTGCTAAATTGTTTTTTTCCTGTTGAGATTTAAACTCTCGAGTGTTCCCTTGCAATTCTTGAGCTATAGATCCCCATCTTTCTTCAACCATCTTTCTTAGCCTATCAGATGGAATTTAGTCAGACTCCATCGTCAGCCTTCCATTGGTATAGCCTACTTTGTCAGATGCATTGTGCAGTTTCCTGAGATGCAGGTGGGGTACATTTATGCGTAGTTGCGTGGGAGAGTGTCATTGGGAACTGAAAGGAAAGCGTGAGATCAGAGAGAAATGAAATCCAGAAAACTACAACAGTGCTAATTACACGCTTAATAATTCACAAAAGATCAAAAACCATTTTGTGAATCACCACTGTTAAATATGTAATTATCACTGTTTGCTCCATTCTGCATTTCGTTTCCCTCTAACCTCACTTTTTTTTCTCTTTTACATTCCCAGCTCCCCACCTTGTACGTGTAACTCTGGAAAACACATCATGCATCTCCACGAAAGCTTATGCCCAGATAAATTTGGCAAGTCATTGAGGTGCCACATGGTTTAAGATGTAAGGAATGGGTGACCCCACAGAACAGTTTTTTGTTTCCTAAGATGAAAATTTCTAACGCTATGGCAACCTTCTCACCAACAGCACAATGATGTGTGTGGAGTGTGCTTTTCTCTGGTTTTCATCACTAGGATGTAACCTCTAATTCTATGGGTTTTTAAGACTAACCTACCTGTCTCATTCTAAAAATATGTACGGTGACAGATGGTGGTCCACACAACTTCTCTACTTGGGACTTCCGCATTCTTTTCCCTCTTTGAACTTGACTTGCAATGTGCTTCCACTAAATTGACCTGTGTTTAAGAAGGATGACCCTTCAGTGCAAGCATAGCGCAGAGATTAGGCTGAAGATCTACCGTCGCCATTAACACAAAGAGCCAGGTTCACATGCAGATCATATGACTGAATTGTTACAAGAAATCAGCTATGCCAAGAATTTTATTTTTAATCAATATTCTGCTTGTGTCCAAAGGTAGATGATGAACCCATAAGTTTCTGCCGTTTGAATGAAACCAGATGACATATATAAACCATAGTCCTTGATGCAAATTCCTCTAGAAAGACTTTTAAAACAGTGCATGTTAATTAAAGGGTGAAACGTCATCAAAACTGCATTTGTGATATAAGGGATTGTTATTTTGACTAGAGCGTAACTGAAATTTATAAGATTTTGGAACACAGAAATAAAATTAATCATCAGACCATCAATTATAGCATGCGGGGGGCCACCTAAATTATATAATTTGGCATCTCAATGATTGGTATTACTAATTGTATTATAAATTGCCATTGTTATAATGAGGCTGTTGGATTGTTGTAATTGAAAACTAATAAAAAAAGATTATCAAAAGAAAAGAAAAGAAAGGGTGAAACATAATACATATACAGCTATTGAAATCTGTGAATGCCTTAGCAATCCCTTCCTTCCCCAAGAAATGATTGGTGGGCAATAGGTGCCTGGGCTGCCTCCTCCTACTGGTAATCTTCTAGAACAATCTGGGCAACCCCCACAGGTCAAACTGCCTCATGTCAAACTCCTCCTGCTACTGGATTTTGCAGGTAAATTCAAACAGGTTTTTTGAAAGGCTGGGGATGGGGCAATGGCACATGGGATGCTCATGGTTCAGGCCATCTAAATAATTTGAAATTATTGCCCTCCTCCCACCCAGCTCAACAAATAGCTGTCTAACAGACTTAGAGGGAGCAGGATTGCAGCAGAGAGGATAGCGGGAGGGGAGGGTTAATGCATGAGAGTGCATCTGAATACGCTGTGTGAGAATGCCGCCAACAACCAACCAACCACCATCAAATCTGACCCTCAAGATCAGAGAGTAACCCATCTCTTGAAGTTTCCCTGCATTTGCTTGGAGGTGCTAATTCTCTGAATACCTAGGTTGGCCTGGATTTTAAATTTCAGCCCTGGCATTCAGCCTTCTCCTTATGTGATAACATCCACAATTAGGCTGCTCCATCTCTGGAAAATAGAGTAGCTTGGTGATGCTATCTTAGGAGGAGGAATCTAGCTGACTCCAATATGTGCCCATTTAGTTCAGTCCAAATTCCCAGAAACAAATTTGAGATAAACTACTGTGACATTAAGCAGATGACTGTCATCATCAACCCACCATCTTTCACGACTGGGGATGAGCAG